CATACACACAGTTCTGTGTTTATAACATGGGAAAGCATTTTCCAGAAATCATAATGGGGACAACGTGCTGGCCCTTTAATTTCATTCATGTGAGAGGAGATGGAGGCAAGGTCTAATTTATTAGACAGTCATCTCCCTCAGACTGCAGCTATTCAGCTGGGGGGAAAAAACCCAGACCATGACATCTCAAACCTTGTCGCTGAGACAGCACCATTTTATTCTCACGCAGACGACTAAAACATCCTGAACACATGGTCTCCTCAGCGAAAAACAGCACGGAGGATAAAGTGGATGAGAGAGGGGGGTGTTGTGAGAGAAATTCGCAGCAGGAGAACCCACATCCGCCTGTGATGTATGTCGTCTCCCCCCGCCTCCTCTCCCTCCTGTGGTACGTCCCAGATAGATGTCAGAGGCATTTAAATGAGGAGGATCAGCTCCAGAGGCAGATAGTGCAGCGACAGCTGGCCTGAACCAGGAGGCACACAGAGCAAAGGGGGGTCACACTCTGGGATGTGCAGGGGGAGTTCATGGATCTGCTGGACCAGCTCTTTGTATGTATGACAGGGACAGATTAAGGGAAAAGTGGAGATGACTCTGACTCTGTGAGTGTGTTGATGTGAGAGCGTACGTGTGGTTTTGCCAGTTTTGTCATTAGACTGAGTGTTTGAAGTGTTTATTTTCTTGTGTCTCTTCATCCTCTCACTACCATCATGTTTAACCCATCTTGAAAGGACAGCAGACGCATGTCCTGGGCCATTTGCTGTTTGGCATGCTCCATCTCCCTGCCAGGACAGTGTCTCTCTCTCTCTCTCTCTCTCTCTCTCTCTCCCTCTCACTCTCTGTCTTTATCTGCCTCTGTCTCGGCCCTGCTAGTTGCTAGTTACACAGGCTCTGAGGACACAGGTACGCTCCACTACCTCATCCTGTGCAGAAGCACAAACAACCCTCTCCTCTCTGCCCCTCTAACCCTCCCCCTTTTTCCTTTCTCTCTTTCACACTCACTGCCACTCTCCTCTGCCTGTCCCTTGACGGCTTTGTGTAATAGCCCTGAGCAGTGCTGTCTTCAGTGTGCTGAAGAGAATCTGTGTCGATTGATTGTCCCATAAAAACTCGCTTTCGCATGTCTTTTGGAGATGGGTGTGAAGGTGCAACTGTGCACAAAGAAGCAGAGCAGATCGATAAATTGTGCTGACTACACCTGCAACTGTGGGATCTTGATTGAAAGGGTTGTTTTAAAGGCGAGTGGGCTTCCTGCCTTTATATTTTTAGTGTTTCTTTTCTTTATGGTTCAAGTGAGAAGGCTGAAGGCAGCAAAGGAAACACAGAACAGAGGTTTCTACAAGAATACCAACACCTGCCTGCAGACATGCAGTTCATGCAGCTACAGAGACTAAACCATATCTGGCCATAGAATGATCTTGATTGCACATCTTTACAGGTTGTTTGATGCAGAGCCAGTGAGAGATGCTGGAGGAGTACGCATCCTTTAGAGGAGCAGAGGAGTCATTAGGTCCTGCAGCATTTTCCCTGTCATGTGTGTTTGTCCTTTAGACATGAGACTTCCTAGTGAGCAGCCAGATTTAACTGTTGCTATGCTGAATATGTGTGTCTGCTATATTTTCTTGTGAAACAATGGTCAGTGTGTTCAGTTCTGTTGATTTTTCTGATGTTATGTGTATGATTTTATAGATGTGTTGTGGAAGGCAGACTGCTTTGATTAAAATATTCTGCCATAAAATCGAGGGCTGAATGTTGAAATTTCGTTAGCACTGAAATATTGAAAACTCTCAAATACTGAAAAATGGCTTCAAATGCCCGATAAGTTTTCCTAGTTTAATTCTATTTTAGTTCGGCAAGATGAGAGTAAATTTAAGATTAGAGATTCACCTTTTTTGTTAATTTATAAAAGGTGTTTTGCAGAAAAAAGTAATGCACTGAAAAATTTTTATATCTCGACTGAAACGAAGGTGTATCAGCATTAGTATAGAAAAATTTCAAACAATACCTGATCTTACTAAAGACTTGTCAGAATGAACCTCCAGCACGGCATTGTTTATATTCTATGTTCTCCGTTATTCCTGCTTTCTCAGCAGCACTGACACATGTGAGCTGTGAGTAAGAACTGCTTTCACTGTGAGACATTTACCACGCAGTCCGCTGTGAGTCAGTGGCATTTCTTGTGGGCTGAATACCAAATCTGCATAGTCAATGGAAGCAGGTAGACACCGGCTGATGATGCATGGACTGTCTGATGGTAGAAAACAAAGAGAGGGGAGATCAGAGGGTAAAAGAAAGGGAATCTCTTTATATTAAAGTCAGCCAGAATTGTATGTGTTCAGACAGGGATTCCTGGCTCTATTTGAGAAGTTTTCTTAAAAAAGGCGAGAAAACAAATAAGCAATACTGTAGATCAAGTTCCACAGGAAGTCCCTCGGCCTCTGACCTCTTGCTCTAGGCTTTGGATGACTTTCCACTTGTGATCTCTTCCCTTAGGACCTTTTTCTGCGCACCATCCTGTTTGCGTTAGCCTGGGGTTAGGACTCTGTATTGCTGCTGAAATATGCATGCAGTGGAAGCCCCATCGGCAAGATGATAGTATTTGACCTCATTCTGAGGCTCAGTGGAACGAAGGCGGTGTTGCATTGTCTCTGATTGTTTTTGTAACGGACACCTGTTAGCGTTTGGATAATCACGTTTCACTCTTGTCGTATTAAGCTCTCATGCTGCTTTCCTCCTGCTCCCATTGGATCAATAAAAGCTTTAGCCAACCAGATTATGTAGTATATGTTCAAGTGAAACGTGGCTGACTTTAATTTCTGAGTGGTTTGCTCTCCAACTGTGGGGGGATGAGTTGTTACGTAACCATAGATGCTACTCATCCAAATATAGCAGCCATTAGGGGATTAGCTCCAGGCCCGACAGGCTCGGTTAGGCTCGGCTTTACTGTGGCCCAGCATTGATGTCTTTGCCGCTGGTCGCCTCCTGCCCTCCACACCAGCGTCCACTGTTATCATGACAAATTGATGGACCCCAAACCGACAGCACAGATAACATCTTAGCCGGCCATTACATTACACAGACGTGCACTTCTGTGGCTTGACTTTGTGGTTGAGACTGGAAGACACTTTGGCACAACAGCATGTGTTCTTATTTAAATTGATTCAAGCTTGGACAGAGGGAATTTACTTACAATTAAAGTATTTACTAAATATTTCAGTATGTTCTTGCTGTGAACATCAATTATTTTCTTTTGATTAGTCTCCTGATTATTTGTATGTATAATATCCATTTTACAGTATTTCCTTTAAAGCCCTAGATGAAGTCTCCAGATATTTAGTTTTGCCTCACCAGCAGTACAAAACCTTACTTCAACGATTATCAAAATAGTTGTCATTTAATTTCTGTCCATGGACTAATAAATTAATCGTTTCAGTCAACAATCAACTCATTGATTGATGAGCTACTGTCACTCTGGTTTATGTGCCTATGCAAAATGGTTAAATCTAAACCAATTCTCAGTAAATATTGAAAAATACAACTTTTTGGAGAATAATGAGCTCCCCTCTTCCTTAAAGTCCTCCTTTATGTTATTTAGGTAGAGGTGATCTCCTTGAACATTAACAATTACATTTCCATTGTTGTTGTAAAAGGTTAAAAGGTCAAAGCATGAGTGTACTTCAATATTTATACACTGCAGAAGTTTGTGTTTCCCTCACTGTTCGCTCAAATACTCCAGTCTGAGATACTTGTGTATGTTTTGAGGTTGCTGCCGTGTGGTGCAGGCAAACTTGCTCAGCGTGTTGAGTGGGATGTGTTGATTGGACAGTGAGTGTTAAGCAGAAGGTGGTGAACACGTGGTGAGTTGTGGTCTGGGCAATGATTACACCATCACCTCTTTTCTTTTTATAGCTACAGTTCTGTCTGCCTCGCCAAGTGTTTTTTACACCATTAATGAAGCTTTTTGTAAAGTCTTAATCGGCCCAGTTAATTGGCCTCTCTGGTCTCCTTCACTGTCCCCATAGAGCAGACAGACTCAGACATGCTGTGTTAAATAAATCAGACTTAATTTAGACGGGGCACAATAGCACAAAGACAACACAGTGTGCAGGTATCATACAGTACACCCTCTTTGACCTTATTCTTGTGTGTATGGTCTATAAATACTGACAGACAACAGCCCCACTGACACTCTAGCACCCAGGATGAAATATTCAGCAGGATGATGAATATTTCAGTGGCAGGTGCGTAGTTTCGAGGGAAAGATTAATATCATTGCAGACTGACCGCTAAATATACACCCAGGGGGAGTTACACAGCAGTGAAGGTATCGTCTCTCCTCTCTGTGTCTGTTTCTCACAGCCAAATGCCTAACCCCTCTGTTATCCTCACTGCTGCGTCCACTCACAGCCGTCCTTGTCCCAAGTCTTTTCTCAGTGACCATCCCCCTTCGTTTTCCCTTCTCGCCTTTCCATGACAACTGGGTTTGTATAAAACTTGAGTCTTGTGCGATGGCAACAATGGAGGGTATTAGCCGGTGCATGTGCTGATGGGCTCTCCACCTGAATGGTCTATTGTGTCTTGAGGCACAAACAGCCGCTGAGCTCAGACCTCCGCTGTTGTGACAGAGGAACAACAAGCTTCTGCAGATTGTTTTGATCACTGTGGATGCATTATATGTTGAAGGAATGAAGAATAATAAAGAAAGATTAGTCTAATTAAGCTGATTTAGATAGTTCAGCTGATTCATAGTTATGTCTCACCCACTGTTTTCCATGCTGGGAAAAGTGAGAAGCTTTTTTTATCAAGGTTGATGAGCTCATTGACAGTTAATTGGATGCAGCTGTTGCAAGCAAAACTCATTTATCATCTTTTCAAACTGAAATTAGTTGCTGTGTGTGTCTTTAGAGTTACTGAAATGAAGGACTCACATGTCTGATGACCATCAATAGAAGATACTGAAGCCCAAAATAAGACTTTCTTATTTTCCGCTTTATCACTAGTTGATCTCCGTGGTGCCCGCCACCTCCTCACTTCCCAGCATTCCTTGCCTGGGATCCCTGTGGCCTTGAAACAGTCCATTGACCTGCGCACATCCATGGACGGGAAGTACAAGGAGATTGCTGAGGTTAGTACTCATTGTAATCAAGTATTATCCTCATTTTAAACGTACTTGTAGGTAGATGTGTTGACTGTTGTAATGTTGTTTACTTTGTCTGTGTGAAGGAGCTGTTCTCCCGCACCCTGGCAGAGAGTGAGATGCGCAGCGCCCCCTATGAATTTCCAGAGGACAGCCCCATCGAACAGCTGGAGGAGAGACGTCATCGCCTCGAGCGACAGATCAGCCAGGATGTCAAGTAGGTGCAGAGAAAGGAAGGAGGTTGTCAGTTAATATACAAACACATGTGACCATGTTTGCGGGCAGACTCTGCTCTAATGATCCTAAAGTGAGCTCAGCGTCTCTGTGCTCAGGTTTGAACCCGACATCCTCCTGCGAGCCAAACAGGAATTCATGAAGACTGACAGTGCCACAGATCTTGAGTGAGTGTTTTTTCTCTGGATAAATGCAACAGTGACATTCATTATTCACTGAATGTATATGTTTAATTAAAAAGAAAATTTGTCGGTCTATCATTAGATACATGAAGGAGCAGAGCCAATCTCCTGACCTGCAGGAGAGAGAACTGGTTCCAGAGAAAGAGTACCAAAGAGTCAGTATTTCTGGAGAGGAGAAATGTGGGGTAAGTCAGAGTCACTGCAGTAATGTAGGGAGAAGCAGAAAAGAAAGTAGTCTTTCTTAGTAGAAACATACTTTCTTACAATTTTCTCATAATTAAATAACACCTCCTCTGTCCTTTTCACCTTCTATCCTCATTTGTTCATCCATCAAGGTTCCCTTCACAGATCTGCTGGATGCTGCCAAATGTGTCGTGAAGGCCCTGTTCATCAGACAGAAGTATATGGGTCTGTCGCTGCAGAGTTTCTGCAGGATTACCGCTCGTTACCTGCAGGAGCTGAGTGAGAGACCTCTGGACTTCGATATCTACGAGGAGGAGATCCCAGAAACCACAGGCACTGCAGGTATACTCATGTGCACACTAATATCTCCATATACTGCACACCTAAAAACATTCATGCATAACCAACAAATACGAGGTCCCGATTTGTGCTGAAACAATTATTCTCCAACGACTGTGATAATTAATTGATCCCAAAGTAATTTATCATAAAAAGGAAAATATTTTCTGCTTCCAGCTTCTTACATTTTAAGGATTTTCTTTGTTTTCTATTATTGTTAATTGAATGTCTTTGGGTTTCTGAGTGTCTGTCAGACCAAACAAATAATTGTAAATGTAAATGTTTTCTGACATTTTATGATGATGAAAAAAGATATGCCTCAAAAACCTTTTAAAGGTCCAGTGTGTAACATTTAAAATGAGCCGTTTATATCTACAGATGCCACAGGTTGTCTTCCATATTACCCTAGTTTCTACTTTGCACAGTTGCAATCTACACAACTACACCGCTAGATGCGACTAAATCTTACACACTGGTCCTTTAACAGAAAAAAAGGAAACTTCTGGATGTACGACGGAGGAAGAATCTGTTCTCCAACACGGACAGACAGACACGCAATAGATATCTTATTATAAGACAAAAACAACAATAAAATCCATAAATTAAAATAATAAACATATTAACAAATTATAAAAAAAACATTACACATTACTCTATTCCAGCTCAGCTCACTCAAAAATAATTAGTAATCTTATGTTAATATGGGAGTGTAAGTCATGTCCAGTGTCCTGTGTGTTACTCTCACATTAAGACATAACCGGGCACACCCACATGGGTTTCACAATCCATCTGTCACACACCCCTGTACCGGCTGCCACAATGTACAGGCTGTTCAAATCAGACGTTAGCTGCATGTGCTTTCCCACCTCGTTCAAAGCCGTGACACAGTGCAACGTTCTGTCTCCTCTCAGATACCACAGTGCACCCACCTGTTTGTGAAACACACCCCTATGAGAACCAGGACCCTGCCAGCATGCCCCCTGACATGGGTTACGGCTGCAAGATGGTGGACGGTGTCATGCATGTGTACACAACGAGGAACGTTATGGAAAAGTGAGATGTGTATGATGAATCACTCGGTGGATGCATGCTTTATCTTGGTGTCCTCGATGTGGCAGGATGCTTGTCTGTTTTTAGACTCGGTTCACACATTTTGTTGGCAGCAGAGAGTTTCCTGCTTAAGTTCTGATGTTGCTAATAGGGGAACAGAGCTGGACCTGCCGTATCCAGACCTGCAGGAGTACATCGCTGATATGAACGTAATGATGGCGCTCATTATTAACGGACCAGTGTAAGTTTTGCACACAGAACAGTGTGAATGTCATGTATTCAAATTATTGTTCCTTTTTGAACCTTTGAAATACAAAAAATGGAAATACAAAATATTGTATTACATTTTCATTTTCTCAAAATGTACCCATTACTTTGTTTTTGTTTCCCTTTGCCACAGAAAGTCCTTCTGCTACCGTCGTCTGCAGTATCTTAGCTCCAAGTTCCAGATGCACATCCTGCTGAATGAGATGAAAGAGCTGGCAGCACAGAAGAAAGTCCCACATCGAGACTTTTACAATATCCGTAAGGTGAACTTGAGAGCGGTTTCTACTCAACCTAATCATACTTAACTGTTGTAATCCAGGTTACCAGACTCTAATATGTAATTTTCCTATGTATTGTTTCACAGGTCGACACACACATTCACGCTTCGTCCTGCATGAACCAGAAGCACCTTCTGCGTTTTATCAAAAGGGCCATGAAGAAGTATCCTAAGGAGATTGTGCATGTGGAAAGAGGCAAGGGTCAGACGCTCATGGAGGTGTTTGAGAGCATGAACCTGACAGCCTTTGACTTGAGTGTGGACACCCTGGACATGCACGCAGTGAGTAACGTCCATGAACTATAGTTAAAAATCTGAAATGTACCATGAGCTTTCTCTAATGAGAGATTGTTTGTATCACATTGTTTCAACTCTTCTTGCAGGACCGTAACACCTTTCATCGCTTTGACAAGTTCAACGCCAAATACAATCCCATTGGCGAGTCCATCCTGAGAGAGATCTTCATCAAAACAGACAACCACATTGAGGGGAAATACTTTGGTCACATTATTAAGGTGAGATTAAAGGTCAGGTGCACCTTTAACACTGCCATTACTGCTGATGCCTGCTGAATGACTGTATGAGTCACTGGCGCCCTCTGCTGACTGTCTGTGTCTTCTTAGGAGGTAATGGCCGACCTGGAGGAGAGCAAGTACCAGAACGTGGAGCTCAGGCTGTCGGTCTACGGCCGTTCCAGAGATGAGTGGGACAAACTGGCCAAGTGGGCCGTCAAACATCGGGTCTACTCCAATAATGTGCGCTGGCTTGTGCAAGTGCCTCGACTCTTGTGAGTAATCCCCAGTGGTTGGAAGGATGAGACCACGAGTATCAGACTTAAATACAATACTGAAGCACTATTTCTGCTTTATGCCACTTTATACTAAATATTGTACTCTTTACTCCACTACTTTTTTTTGACAGCAATAGTTGGTTGTTACTTTTCAATATTACAAAGCATTTGATCAATTTATAATATATTTAATGATTTTCTTATAGATTCAACTTCCCAACAGCATATAAAGTAGTTAAAAAAAGCTCTACCTTCCACCAGCTACAACATTAAAATGCTAAAATATGCTCTTTAACTTGAGGAACATTTTGAATATGTGACTTTTATTTGTAAAAAGTAAATCAGTAAGGTCTACTCGGACTACCCTTACTGTCGTACAAACACACATCAATTGCTAAGCTTCTTTAAAAAATCTGCAGCACATATGAGTAAAATGAGGAACAAGAAAGGTACAATAATTTCACAAGTGACTTCTTGTATTTTTCTCTCAAAGTGACGTCTACCACACAAAGAAACAGCTGTGCAACTTCCAAGAGATGCTGGAGAATATCTTCATGCCTCTGTTCGAGGTTACAGTCAACCCAGGCAGCCATCCAGAGCTGCACCTCTTCCTTCAACATGTACAAACTCTTTGCTGTGGAGTCCTGAATTTATTTTATTCACATGCAGCCAGACCTCAGAGGGTTTCATTGGTCTCTGTTGTTGGTCCCTCACACAGGTTGTGGGTTTCGACAGTGTGGATGATGAGTCAAAACCAGAGCAACATATCTTCAACCTGGACAGTCCGCTGCCAGTCAACTGGACAGAGGAGGACAACCCGCCCTATTCCTACTACCTCTACTACATGTATGCAAACATGACTGTGCTGAATCACCTGCGCAGGTACGGAACTACACCTCAGTCCATGTGGCAACAGTCCCTGGTGTTATCAATGTTTACAGCAAATACAGTTAACAAAATTATTTAGGGGAGATCATACTTTAGATTCCTCAGATTCAATGCATATTTCAAGATTAATTCATTTGCTCCTACCGAGGAGTTTCATTGTCACAAAATACAATGCTTGTTAAACTTTTTTTGTTAAATTACAATAACATTTTGAGACACTTTATATCTCCCAGAGACAAAAAGCTGTTTTAAGATATTTAAGTACCCAAGTAAAATGTTTATTTGCAATTAATAATTAAACCAAAAACTTTCCTTTGCAAAGGTTTAACTTTTTTTGTGTTTCTTATATTTTATTGTAATTTTTTAATCTCTTAAACTTAAGTACAACAGTACAACAGTACTACAGTACAATTTTATCTTCAACATGTCCGTTTTTCTTTCCTGCTACAGTTCATAATACATACAAAATACTTAAACAGAATTATTAGTGAATGAGAGAATGTAAGGCATGTAACTCGTTTGAAATGGGATATACTGAATAACCTAAATACATTAAAAGGGCAATTAAAAGACCTCAACATCTTTATAAAAGCTTTAAATGTTTCACTTCCTGAACTAATCTGATAACAAATTGTCCGAACTCCATCTCTATAAAACCAGAGTACAAAAACCTTCCTAACAGTTAGAGATTACATGTCTGTGCATGCCCTTCTGAACTTTAACTCTTCAGTCATCCTTTGTCCTTTATCTGTCATATATTTTTTATTTGAGACACTGTTGTATAAATAACACACCAAAGCTGAAATTGAGTGTTATTGAAGTTTCCCTCCTCGTATTCTTTTCGTTCCAGGCAGCGGGGGTTTCCCACGCTTGTCCTACGTCCTCATTGTGGGGAGGCAGGGCCGATCCATCACCTGGTGTCAGGCTTCATGCTGTCAGAGAACATCTCCCACGGGCTGCTGCTTAGGAAGGTGCGACCTCAATATCACAATGAGAGGAGAGTTGATCAGTCCAAGAGTTTGAGGAAAATTAGGGCTGCAGTATTAGTGCATTGCCTAACATTACGCTTTATGTTCCTCCAGGCTCCGGTGCTGCAGTATCTGTACTACTTGGCCCAGATAGGTATCGCCATGTCCCCTCTCAGCAATAACAGCCTGTTTCTCAGTTACCATCGTAACCCTCTGCCAGAGTACCTGTCCAGAGGCCTCATGGTCTCTCTGTCCACTGACGACCCTCTGCAGTTTCACTTCACCAAGGTCAGTGTACACAGCCAGTCAAACCTCTTTAATCCTCTAAACTAACCAAAATGCTATATGCTTTTTTTTTTACTTTATTATAAATGGTTTAAATCTGAAATGCTCTACATTTTGATCACTCTAGTTAGGCACTGCTGTATAATTGTACTGTAATCAATGTCACCACCATCTACATGTTTTTAACGCTGAGCGTGGTGGTGGCTTAATTGGCTGATTCCTTCTGTACACCTGTCTTCAATAAAGCATTAATTTGACACTTAATAGGTCCTTAAACACAAAGAAGACTGAATGTCATTTTTTTATTTTATTTTAATTTACAGGAAATGATCCTTTCTGATTACATTGTTGATTGTCTGCTTAATAAACACGGTTTGTTGTGATGTGTAGTAAATAAACACAAGTCCATCTTCTGTTTTCATACAGAGTAAACACTTAAGAGGTGTATACTGCCTCAAGTGGTTGATACACATCTTATTTGAGACTCTGGTATCACTAAAATGCACCGGCTGTCACCACCAGCATCTACAGGTGTTGCAGTTTATCAACAAATGGTGTGGTAGACCTACAGTACTGTAGTAGACTGTTTAGTTGCTGCTGTAAATGCCTGAAAACAGTTGCAATTCACATTTACACCTCTACCATTGCTGTATTTAATTTTAGTGTGTTGAATTAAAAAACTTCAACAAGCAGGGAAAGCTTTAGTGTAATGTATCTTTTGTGTTGTGTGTAGGAGCCCTTGATGGAAGAGTACAGCATTGCTGCTCAGGTGTGGAAGCTGAGCTCCTGCGACATGTGTGAGCTGGCCAGAAACAGTGTGCTGATGAGCGGATTCTCTCACAGGGTATCAATTATCTTTATAGCACACTGCACATTATCCAATTTTACTGTCTACAACTATACCAGTCCCTCCTCAGTCTATTGTTCTGCACGACATTTAATTTTACTCTGACTCCTGTTCTGGAGCAGGTGAAGAGCTCCTGGCTTGGACCAAACTACATCAAGGACGGGCAGGAGAGTAATGACATCAGGCGCACCAACGTTCCTGACATCCGCGTGGCGTACCGGTATGAGACCATGTGCGAGGAGTTGAATTTAATCACACAGGCCATCCGCACAGATGAGCTGGAGACCATCGAGGAGGAGGGGAGTCTGTGTATGGGAGCTGTGCAGGGAGAGAAGTGAACGTGTGGCACGACACAAATTCTCACTACATTCCCTGTGTTCACATCAGGACTTTGTACAGATTTGCATATCAACATATCACACCTGTGAAAAGTGAAAAGCTTTGTTACAAGAAGATTATAAGTACAGTATCAGAGAGGACCTACAATCTGTGTACCCAACGTGTTCCCTTCCTTTAGTGTCTTTGAGTCAGTCTTTGTTTAATTTGTCAGGGTGATTTCATGGTGTCTCTTGATCTATTTATTTTAATTTGTATATTTTAATGGTTTGTGACAACATTTTGTCTGTACAAAGTCTGTATTTCCTGTACCAAACATTGAATTATATTGACATTCAAGATGAAAGATTAAACCCATTAATAAAACATATAAACCGGATTCCAACACTGACCGATTAGAATAAGAAGACAATCAGGAACATATTTTAAAAGTAAAGAGGCTCTAACTACGTACGGGGCTGTTCCTATTGAGGGCACTGAGGTCATGTTCTTGTTTACAGTTTCTGCCAATTTGGGGGTTTGAGTGACCTTGAGGGATCGAAGGTTAGACATACATATTACACACTACAGTTAAAAAATTATATTTTCTTATAGCTGATTCCAGTATTTATAGACATATTTAAATTTGTCGACTTTAAGCCCAACAAAATGGACAAATGTGCAGTGTAAAGTAGGATTTGAAACCATGTTTAGACCATCATTTAAAACAGTAGCACTTTATTTATAGGTCATTTCCAAGCAGATTACCTGAAATAACTCTACAACCTGGTACTATAGGGAAACTAAAGAAAACGTTATTTTAGAAAAGTTCTGTTAGTTTCCAGGAGCTGTTTGCACCAGTGGTTCTCACGTGTTTACTAAATGGAGATTTAAGCATCACTAAAATAAAACTAATTAATATAGAGATTAGTTGATTCTAAATATTTACACAGACTAACCATCAGGGGTAACTAACTATCTGAACTAACTTGCAGAGCTAACATGCTTCCTAATAACATTGTGAGTGTAATCTGATATAAATTTATATCTTCATATATGTAAATAAAACCAAGTCATACCTATGTTTACAAAAGATTGGAAGGAGAGTTTAAAATATTACAGTTAGTTATATTACAGCCTGTGATTCAACAGTTACATCCTGTTTACATAGTTTTTTGCTTTTGATTGGATGGTGTAACAGGTGTTTCCTAGTAACACATTGCTCATTGCAAGTCTTAATGAGGCATTTTTTGAGGTTTAATAGTGCAAACTGACTTAATAAATCACAAGTTTGAAACTATCGAGTTGATACAAAGAATTCAGGAAAAGACTTTACACACACACGTAGTATTGATGAATAGATGGTGTAACCTAATCCAGAGGAATGTCCTTGAAAGCATCGCTCCATTTAAATAATAAGTTTCTTGGTGTTGAGAGGAGTGGTGAGTGAGGCAGACTATGACTGATGACCTCAGTATTTCTAAAATCCTGGCCACAGCCCTGACTACTAAGACTGAATCATAAACCTTTCCAGCAAACTTCAAAGTGTTGAAAAAACCTTTAAAGAACATTTATAGTCGAGTTAGAAACACTGCATGAATTTATGGCTGTTTGGTTGATATTTTCTACTGTAATTACCCACAGGACAATACCTCATGCTGTGTAACTGGCAAAAAGAAATCTCCATCTTCAGTATTCCTACTACGTGTTGGATATTAACAACATCCCCAACACAGCTGTTAAGTGTCATATTCTTGATGTTTTTTTTACAGTATTTTTACGGTAATTAAGTTGCATGAAGGCACGTCAATATTTGTTTCTGGTGTGCAGTAATGCTACTCAGTTGTAACATCTTATATTATAATAACTCTTATTTTGTGACATTGTTTCTACTGACAGTCTGAACTGTAACTCTGATACTATCTGTCCTTTACACGTAGATATTTAAAATACATTTCTGAGTCATAGTACAGTGACTGATGCATGATCTGTTCCTTCACTTTTCACTCCTTGCACAAGTTCAACCAGTGCCAAATTCATGAATAAACACATTTTCTTAGAGAAGTGAAAGTTGACTAACTTGACAAACCCTTTTCAAACTCCTGCCTTCAGTCTGGGTCCTGGTGTTAATCTGTGGGGCTACTTGTTGTTACTCAAAAGCACTCTGTGTCCCTCTTAGAGATTTATATGTGCTGTTTGTGACCTATTATTTAATGACATTTGTGTCTAAGAATAAAAAATGTTGTTCACACTGGAGTGCTTGACTTGCTGTGGTTTATACGTCCCAGAAAGGAAAAAATTGTCTTCTAAAACTGCAAATGGCAGGTTACAAAAGATCAAAAACAATGACACTAAAGATCATCATTTATTTACACAAATCAGGTCTGTTTTAGTGTCAGCAGCTGATCATCAGTATGTGTTCTGGGTGGATATTTCTGTGAGCCAGTGAGGAAAAGAAGTGAAACAAAGAGGGCATTGTGTGGTCCATATTCAACTCGCAAATGTGGGTCAAAGTAAGCAGGAAGTTCAACACAAAACTCAGGCCGATTACAAACCTCCATCGTTTCTAAATTAAAGAACTGACATCTGGCTGCTAAGAATAAATTCACAGCTCACACACGTTGTATAGCAAACGTTATAATGACTGAAGTGAAAGAAATAAGATAAGTCATTTGTCAAGTGAAAATATGCATCAATGGTCTTGCACTTTTGTAATTATATCAATTTAAATTAAATTTTTATTTAGAGTGAATTCTCCCCACTTCAAGTTCAACTGAATTTTTTAATAACTTCTAGCCCTATAGTGAAAATAGCCCTTATTTGCGGTACTCAAACAATCCTAACTCAAGGGCCACTTACCAGCTTTGAGCTTTCAGCTGTGTCACTCTTGAAAAGGTGCTATAGACAAGATTATGAAAGCTACAGCCCATAATACTCCGCCATTTGACCTTGAGTTAGTTTTCGTGTTGTGGTAGTAAATAATAGCACAAACCCTCCTCATTTAAATGGCTGTGACTCCACAGCTTTATGTGAAAGGTGACTTAAAGATAATCCCTGCATTACTTCTGGTAGTGCAGTTAGCTATACTGTGGCTTTCATTGTGGTTTCTTTGTGTCATGGAAAAGTCTGTATTTGAACGACTCCATATATGTTTGGATAAAAACAGGATTTCCTTACACAATATATGGTGTCAGTTACCTACATGTCTCATGTCAGGTGCATATGAATAATAGCTTTCCAGCAGATTAGTGTATTCATGTTCACATACCATATGAATGTTACATAAATCCAAACAAAAGAACCGGTTCAGAGAGTGTGTGACCGCCCGGTTCACCCCGCCCACCAGCTCCGTCTGCCTGCCCACCTCACCTCTCTCCCTCTCCCTCTCCCGCAAGCGTTTCACACACTGCCGCTGCTCAAGTCTCGGTCAGCCACATTTTGGTACCCGAAAGTGATTCACAATGACAATGAAACTGGCTTACTGGGATATTCGCGGGGTGAGTTCAGCCGCCTTCTTTGTTTGTAAAGTAACAGCTGGCGGTTCACGGCTGCCGTTGTACCTCCACCGGAGCTCGACTTAACACAGGCTGTCAAACTCTTTGTATCTACGAAGTTACTGACATTTATTATTTTACTGCGTAATGTTTTTGTGTTTTATAATCATATAAGGTTAGTAGTTAGTTACGTTACGTTACGTGTTGACGCAGCCCCGCTCGGTAAACCGTTGCACGTGCTCCAAACGTTATCGTTATCGGTAACGTTAGCAACGACTACCACGTTCGAGTCAAACGTTAATGTTTTCTGCAGCTAACGTTAGCTTAGAGGTTAGCTTACATATTTAATCAACAATACGCGATAATTATCCGGCGTTCAGACAGTGTGAGCTGCTCTGCGTATGCGCAACGTTACCAGTGCAATTAAATGGCTCTAAAGTTAGTAAGGTGGGACATATATTTTAAAAACCGGACCTCTGAGTTGGCGTATACATTAATTAACTTAATTAACATGGCCATTTGCAAGTTAGCAGGAAATCGGTAGTTGAGAGAGTCAGAGCAGCGGGGCTTAAAGTTACATGCTTCATCCTGCAGACACTTGTGTACAAGGTTTAATGTTGTTTACGGTGTGTGCTCCGTTTTCTCAAGAGCCTACTTCTGATGGTGTGAGTTAGTTATTACCTGCCATGTTGTTGTTCAAACGATACTTCAATAAAGGGGTAAAAGGCCAAATCGATTAAGGTTTAACTATAAGTCTGTAGGTAAGGCAGCCTGCACCTAAAAATATACTATAATAATAATAATAATAATAACAGACTTGTTTTCAACGACTTGCTGTTGCTCTTAGTGGGTTTTAGTATTTTATCATCTTTTATTTTCATATTGTTTTATTCTGAACTGTTTTACCTTTTTGCACATATTTGCTATTGCCTTATATATTTTATTCGATTGCCATTTTATTGGTTTAATGTGCCTTTTTATTACTATTTCAGTGTCTTTTATTAGCTATTGATGTGCAGTACAGCACTTTAGTCCACGTGCTATATAAATGAACTTGATTTGATTTCAAAATATTTCAGGATAGACTATACTTGATGAATCGGCTTCTCTTAAAAATGTCAAAATAATGTGAACTCCCCTCACAAGCACTTAAAAGAGCACATTTTATTTGACCCACATGGTCCCCAAGGTTAAAATTTGATTAAACCAGGCAAACTTGACATTTGAGAAGCCTTGTTTGGTGTTTTGTGCTTTAACTTGATAAACCCCTGACATTAATTTGATAGGGTAGAAACAGGTGTGACCAGTGATTAAGTCCATTTAGTGTAGCAGAGCCTTTCCAGTGAGTCTACATGTACAATAGCAACAACCCTCACTCTGTTTGACCTGAATGAAACCGAACCTTAATTAGTATTATTGGTAACACCTTTGTTTACCCTACTGTTTCATGTCCAAATTTCTGCTGTAAAAAGCTTCAAATTAAAATTGATCTGTTCACATATTAGTTTTTTTGTTTTTGTTTTTGTTTTTTTACGATAAATCAAATAATAATGACATTAATTATCTGAAATTACAATAAAATTTTTAATGCATGCCATCTGCAGACATGTGTAAACATCATAAACAAATCTGAAATATCAGCCTCTCACACGTCTCATTTTCGGACACTTCTGCAGCTCGCCCAGCCTGTCCGCCTGCTGCTTGAGTACACCGGCACCAAGTATGAGGACAAGTTTTACGTCTGTGGTGAAGGTAACTTACCTGTTCAACTAACAACAAACACCTGTTACAATTTAAACCACAAGTGTCTGTACAAAATACCCACTTAATCGTCTGACTCACATTTTTCTCACATTAGCTCCAAACTATGACAAGAGCTGCTGGTTTGATGAAAAACCCAAACTTGGAATGGACTTTCCCAATGTAAGTGAGTTTAACTTGTGAATATTTAGTGTAAAGCAGGCGAACATCAACTAATAAGAGTATTGTGATTAACATCTCACCGTAGCTGCCCTACCTGGAGGATGGAGACAGGAAGATAGTGCAGAGCAATGCGATCATGAGATACATTGCTCGTAAGCACAATTTGTGTAAGTATTGTGTGTTTATTCCACATATTAATATTTTGTTCAAAAGGGTTTTTCATTAGTTTCATCTCCTTTTTCATTCATTGTAAACATTTCAAAATAAATCTTCAAAAAGTTTCAAATACAGTGCACACCACATCATTTTCATGTAGTTATATATTCCAGGTTTTAGGTGAAGTATCTCAGTCTGTATGCTTTGAGTGTCCCAGTAAATCTGATCTGATCACAGGCGGAGAGACGGAGGATGAGAAGGTCCGTGTGGACATCATGGAGAACCAGGCGATGGACTTCAGAAATGGTTTTGTGAGGCTGTGCTACACTGACTTTGTAAGTACTACATTAAAAGTCAGTGAATGTGTCGTTTTACACCTTTTCCTCTCCACTAACGCCATCATCACCCATCTGATATCAGGACAAGATGAAGCCCGGGTACCTTGAGGCACTGCCAGGCACACTGAAGCAGTTGTCAAATTTCTTGGGAGACAGGAAGTGGTTTGCTGGTGACAAGGTATGTTATCCCTTAAACATGGGAGGCTTTATACGTTAATCATTTTTAAAGCTGCCTTACACACAACAAGCTGAAAACCACAGACATTTGACACATTATGGAGTTGATACCTTATGGTGAGCATAGACAATTGCCTGTTTAGCCTTCACATTTGGAGCTTGAGAAATATAACTGGGTCTTGAGTTGCTAGATATTCCCGTGTTCACCGTTTAGTGACTCATTTTGTGTGTCTGCCACAGTGCAGTGTAGTGTACAGTAGATTTATACAAACCTTTTTGACTGAAAACAGCTGCCTGCTGTTCCTGGGAACTCTGTTGATTCAAACTGATGAGATGAGACCAAGTGTGAACCTACCGTGACGTCACCCATTGGATGGTGTTGTATAGGGTTGGCCAATTGGACAAATATATTGTCTATCAGCGATTGTCCATCTCCAGTTTTATTTGGCCGACCTTTTTCGTTTTATTTTGCTAATTTAACGGTCTGCCTCCAAGGAATGAGAGCTGCTGCACAGAGGCGCAGTACACGCACTGAGCCAAAAAAGGGTGAGAGGAAAAACAGCTGTTGAACCGGCTGTTTTTCACATCTAACTGCAGTGAATGAAAAGTTTATTTCAACTTGACTGACAACCGAGGATACAGTAACAAGGTCATTTACAGAATATTTTCTATCTAACACAGACAGTTAGACACCAGAGTTGGTGATTGTTGGAACAGTGCAAAGACTAATAAAGTTGGTTTGGTGAGTTTTATTTTGTTCCTGTCGCGTTTGAATGAAGTGTGTTTTAAGATTCCTTAACAAGGTCATTGGTATAAGGAGTACAGTCTAGACCTGCTCTATTTGTCCTGAGATAACTAATATAATTAGGCGTTTTACAAAATACAATAGAATTGAATATAAGAGAGAAACTTGAATTAAAAGGTGTACAGTTGTATTTTCCTATTTAATAAAAAAATATAAGACAATGTTTTTCTTTTCCTTTCTTGACTTTTTTGTTGGTTAAAGTTATTAAAAATGTTGCCCAACCCTAGTGGTGTACCATTTTGAAGCCTCGAGTTTGGCTTTATGGCTGCTCCCATGTTGGTTTTTGCTACCAGAAGTGGTGACGTACACAAGTTGTGCTGCAATCACTGGTTGCACTTGTCCATAGCAGGAAACAATGGCAGCCTGCCTGGTCACACATGTTCTTGTATTACAGATACATGCAACTAATTCTACTGAATTTACTATTGATGCAGCTTTAAAGTCTAGTTTGAGCCTTTATTTTGCTTTGAACATGTGTAGTAATGTACCTTTTCTCTTTACAACAGATCACTTTTGTGGACTTCATTATGTACGAGCTGTTGGATCAACACAGGATGTTTCATCCTACATGCCTGGATGACTTCAAGAATCTCAAAGATCTTTTAGACCGATTTGAGGTGAGAATGAGACAGCACTTCCCACACTGACAGTTACACTCAGCAAATAGAAAGTCCTGCACCTCTTTGTGTCTTCCTGTGTGTCTTAGTGTGTCTGTGATGTCCATAGGTGAATAGAGTTTAACTGCAGTTGCTTCTGCTGCTCTTGCCCTGTTAACAGTATAATGCAACTCACAATGGTTTGGTACAATTACTTCTCATCATAGGCTCTGGAGAAGATTGCTGCCTACATGAAGTCCGACAAATTCATGAAGACTCCTGTCAACAACAAGATGGCCAAGTGGGGAAACAAGAAAGAGTAAAAGACGATGCATTTACACCTTACAGAAACAATGAAAAGAACCAAGTTCCCAAGTGCAACTCAATAATGTAAATTCAGGACTAGAGAAAAGTTGTTCTGTACTTTGTCTTTTTATATCCTGTTAACTAGTTTAAGGTCCTTGAATCACATGTATCACAACATTTAGTCAGGTTAAAACCACTTTAGTTGAATTGTGCAAAAAGAAAAATCCAAGTCTACTGATATTATGAAGATGAGTAGAAACTTTAATTTGAATTAAAGCACTTAATGTCTTTATTACAACTGAAAGAGATTTGATTTGACAGATTAAAGTAAATCTTTTACTGACTTTGTTTCTTCCAGTTTATGACTCAATTTCAGCATCACTTTCTGTACAATACACAACATTTAAGAATCAATTAAAAGAAAATGGAATATGTGGTATAAGTTAATGAAGCAAAAGAAACTGGGTTTTATACAGTGCATCTAATAATGGTTAACTACAGTTTTAAATCAATCCAACTGTAGTGTAGTTACATATTTTTTGGTTTAATCACATTTGGGAAGACTATACACAATTTACTTAAAATAGCTAAAGGGAACATAAGTGAAATAAACTATAGTAAAGATTAGATGGAGTAAATAGATTCTTTCTTGTCCTTTCAGGGAAATTTGTTGAGTAACTTCCAACTATTGCTGCTGGTGATAAATTATCTAACAGACATTTCATTCACTTAAAGTTCTTGGTCTTAAATAATACAAATGCTGAAAGCAGCCCCTCACATAAGATAATTTGAGATTAAAGATTTAATTAGAAGCTAATGATTCCAGATGTCTATCTGTGAATGCAAAGTCAGGGGAAAAGGAAGTGAAGGAGCAGTGAAGCAGGTTGTTAGTATCGGCCGTTGTACATGCTTGATGGTTCACTGGCGAGCTGTAGGAAACAGGATAAAACGTTACTGATGTGCCGCAGTTAGAGGGTCTGTGTGTGTGTCCATATGCGTATCAAATGACATGTTACTTACTGCAATGGCTGACTTAATGGCCTGAAGCTGGAAGAAGACCTTCCCTCCCTCTTCTGGACACACAGTCCTTATTTCATTCTTGGTCATTCCCAGAAGCAGCTGACCAGTCAGCACCCCGAGGCTCTTCACAGTGCTGCACATAAAAAGGCACAAAACACACAATATCTGACTTCATCGTGCAGTTCAAACATCTTATAGTTCCCAGTCCCTCTGCAGATTATTTCACTCACATTCTAGAGAAACCTTTGTACTCCAGCCAGGCTTTGACCTCTGCAGATGTGGAGGTCATATCTAAGGTCACTGGACCACGAGTGTCCTGCGGTGAGGGAGAGCAAAGGGAATTAAATGTGAAATCTGTGAAGTGGTTACCCGGCTGTGAGCTGTGTGTCAGTGGGCTTACCGGTAGATCGTCCATGGGCGCGTTCATCGGCTCCAGAACGTTCTGAGGAACATTGCCCTCCTCCTTGCGGCTGTTGCGAACGAGCCACCACTGCTTGGATTTCTGAACCACCTGTAAAAGAAAAAAAAAAACAGAATCAAACATCTCAAGCACCTGAATGTTACTACTGACAGTAAATACATTTAAATAGAAATGAGGCTGGATACAGAATAGTGTATCAGTGCAGTATGTGAAGACTTAAACAGGTTAAGCTGGTATTTACTGGGCTGCTTTCTAGTGCTAGATTTTTGTTCTCTTTTAATTTTCACTGAAATGCAACTCTCTTATCAGCTGTAAACACAATGGACAACAAAGATTAACCCTAAAAAATAACCATTAGTAAACAGCCAGTTATTAGTTCTAATAGTAACAATTATATCAACAACAAAAAAAGGTTTTTTGATAAAGGTTTTTGGTCTCTTTTTTTCTATTTATTTGCAATTAAACCAGGATTTTAAACAAAAGTCAACTGGACTTTTGGATTATTGGTAACTATCATATGACACAGATTTAAATCCAACTCCAGCGGTTATTGTAGCATCTTTGTCATCTCACCTGAACCACGTCACCCTTCATAATGCTCAGCTCCTGGCTGTTCCTGGCCATGAAGTCGTAAATGACCATCATGTACAGGGGAGGTTCACTGGGACTGAAACCGCAGCAGACACACACATTGTGATTCACATGACCAGTTTTCGCAAAAAATATGATCATAAAGCCACATTTACTGCAGTGTAAAAATGCTTACTATATTGGTGGTGGTGAACTCCATGGACCGTTGGTCATAGGCTGTAAAAGGCATAAAATGCAACATGATGAGACTACAGACTTGTGATAATAGCTTCACTGGCGCTTTGAGAACTTACATATCAAAGGTGGTGACTGCCAGATGGTAATTCCACTTGTGATAGCCACTTAAAAAATAGGTAGTCCATTTCAGTGGAGTTGATTATGTAACTTAAGCCACTGCCAACTTCTCAAGCAGAGTGTCAGGATACTTCATTTAACACTCAGCTAATGAATAACAGTTACTGAGCTGCTGAAAACAACAGGCCTTAATCACCAGCACTGTAATCTACCTTATGGGAAAACTCATTTAGCGACGGCTGGATGTGTAGTCGTGCCAGGTACCTAATATATCTGCTAGAGCACCGTTAACACAGTCCCAAACGTAATGTGAAACCAGAGATAAAGGTGGGTAATTGTGTCAGTATGGGTCTACCTCTTCGGGATGGCGTTGGCCAGGTGGGATGCGCTGGCTGTTGCTCCTGCTCATTGGACCGTTCTGATAAGGGATCGGGGAAGGCCTGTGTGAGGGTGGAGGCGGCTGCCAGCCATCGTAGAACTCTGGGATGTACGATGGGACATCTTCTGGCCATCTAGACCTGTGAGGCGACAGGAGGGCAGAAATTGTGTAAAAGTAAAACCAAAAAGGAACCAGCTAATGCTTGAAGGGACCTCTTCATTCAAACAAAGGTTACGCAACAAACAATAAAAACCCAGATGTCAGCCGAGTTTATGAGCCGAAGTTAAAGGAATAGTTCAACCTTCTGTATGGTTGATGTGGCACTGGACAACAAGTGTCCTACTGGAAAAATGTTTACAACCTGGCAACCCTAAAGTTGTTCTTACTAATGCTGATAATAAAGCATCAGTAAATTATTAATGAATCCATTAAATTATTATATATCCTTCACAGTAATTCTCAAGTAGAGTTTAACATCTTAAAACTGAAAAGAGCAGTAGTTCCAAATAAACACACTCCTGTTTATCATTTCCTCTATAGCACATAAATGCAACATTACCTCTGACCTATATTTACATATCAGCAAACACACACACACACACACTGTTCCCTAAGTTAGGGCGTGCCAGGGCAGGTATAGGTGCACTCACAATCAGAGGGCTATATATGAGACGTAACAAGAATTGTGTGAAGGTGATAAACGTTGCATTACCTGGGGAGGTTCCAGCTGTCTCCCAAAGACCTCCACAGGTTGTCCTCCTCCGGGTCGACAACCTGACTGAGCAGCCGCAGGGCTGCCACTGTCAGCAGGGGGGAGATGACAGTGGGAGGGAGGTCGGCAGGATACTGAGGCACAATCTGTGGAAAAATGGAGGAAGTAAGTATCAACTGTTCACATTTAAGTGTAGAAAAATATGAGACAAAAATTAGTTTAGAAGAGCTCACCATGGCCAAGTTACCGAAGAAGATGTGGACATAGTCAGGAGCAGTGGGGCCGTTCAGCGACCCGTCCAGCTGGCCCTGAAATATAAAGAGTCTGTCAGTCACACCTCACTGCTTCCTGCTGCAATCAATCGGTCCACTCAACACATTAGAGCAGCGGTTCCCAACCACTTTTCTATCACTGAGGAAAGTGACGACCTCTGACTAAGTGACATATTTTATGGATATATATTCAGTGTGTAACAATAACGGCACATAACAACTGATGAACTGTACAATGAACACAAATAGGGAACACAATAACTGCAAGAGGGTTGTGTAAAACGAGGGATTTGGATTCATTTTGAGCAGATTATTTCCTGTAAAAATTAATCTGAGATTCATAAACTGGAAGAAACTTTTCTATACCATTATCTGCCTGAATTATGTATTTGTGTTGTTTTTTAACAGTCATACATATTTATTAGGCTTCTTTTTTTTCAGACAAATTCAGTGTTTTCTTCTCCCTGACACTTTAGATCTTAAATAATAATCTAAACTTTAAAATAACAATTGCATTTAGTTTTCTTCACAGAAATGAACACAAAGCTGAGATATAGCTATGCTGTGTGTATTTCTTAAAATTAAGAAGGCCCCGCGTCTCCCTTGTGAAGCTTTGGTGACCCCCAGGTTGGGAACCACTGCATTAGAGCATTCACCCAAACCACTCTGGTTAACGTGTTTCCTGTGGAGACATTAAAAGATGTGAAATAAGTATTCACCAGCAGATTGAATCCATATTTGATTTTCTGAAGACAGGACACATATTCCTCCCATGGTGGCAGACTGACAGCTGGGGCTGCAAGACAAAACACTTATCAGACACAAACCTCTGTGAGTGTATCTGCACCTATAGGAGGTCTCTCCTCCAGTAATTACTTAATTTATCACATGTGCCCGTGAAAAGATAAAGTGAAAGAAGATTATTACCATATTTCTTTGACTTTTTCTTCTTAGATGCATTTTTCTTTTTGCTCTGGTCTCCTTTCAGTGAAGGTGCATTCGCTACAGTCGACACTTTGCCCATAAAGATCTCCAAGTCATTTAGAACATGGTTAAAAATGTCCTGAGATCACAAGCATGAAACAAAACATAGATTAGACATTCTGTGGCCTGTAGGAGCTTTTTATCTACGAGTATGTTTTCCTTGACATGAGAAAGATGATCTAGCTATAACTTCTGTAGAGACTGTTAGACTGCAGTACTGACCGTGTTCCTCGCTGTGTCTGTTGGCACAGGTGACAAAGGGACCTCTGGGCTGATCTGTAATTCACGAAGGTCGGGAAGATGCATCACTGGTTCTTGTTGGGTGTAGCGTGTAGGGGCGAAATTCTCTATACAGCAACAAAATGAATGAAGAGACAAATATCAATATGACTTCATTTCAGGAGAATATTTATACATTATAAAACATACTGCATGGAGTTTATGGCTGAACCTGTCTTAATAAATGTAAATGTCAGTTGTACAAAAGCCCAATTAACGCACCATTAAAGATTTCTTTCATATGCTTAGAGTAGATCAGATAAAGCTGTACCTGGTTCTCTCCACTGTGGGGGCGGGTGTTCTGGTGGCGGTGGGGTCCTCTCTCGCTGCACAGGACGAAATCCAGGCTGCCGGAAACTTCCCAGAGCTTGTTGCCCGATGATATTTTCAAGATTACTCCTGGGAACATTAAGGACGGACAGCAGTCAACCTATTTTACTGTTCCAATTTCTTTATTTGTCCTAACTGTGCTTTCTCTTAATGTGATTTAATCTCTGTTAAGACCAGGAGTGTCCAAACTTTGAAAAATGAAACTTCATGGTGGGCTGCGGACCAAAAGCAAACACCTATTGTATTGTATTGTTATGGATTGTATTGTATTGTATTGTTATAGTGTTGTTAAGATGCAGGGATCCCAAGTGTGCCTCTGCCCACCATGCTCAGATTATGAGAAATAATAAAGAAAAAAGTGCTGATATATTCAAATATATATATATATATATATATATTGTTATGTTTTCGCTAGAAGGCCAAATCAAACCTAATGGCAGGCCAACTTTGACCAGCCCTGGTTTAGACTGTGCTCATGTGTACCTGATGTCAGTCGGCTCTCTCCGTGGTTCCACAACAGCGCCTCCTTTTTGGACGGCCTTATCCAGGTCACTCTTGATGAGCTCCGCCTGGAAAAACAGACCTGCTTTAAAATCCAACTCCTACACGACACCAGCAATGTTATGAAATAGAGATAATGGTCTCAGAGAATGGCCTTCATGTCTGACTAACACGTCCTCCCTCCTCTGGAGGCTTTCAGCAGGTCAAAGGTCTGGTTGAATGTGACTCACCCCAGTCTCCTCACACTGGAACATGAAGACCTGGGGATTGTGTTTGTTGCGTTCCTGCACTGTTACTGTCAGAAGAGAGTTGTAGGCGCAGCTATCCAGCACAGCTTTGGTTTCCAGGATGCAAGCCAATGGTAGCAACTCCAGCTCTGCCTTTAGAGTCAGATTGAACAGGACAGGTTTATGAGAGAGAATACAGTTAATTATCAATATTGGTCAGTATTTACACACTGTTTTCTGACAAGGTTGTGTCCATTGCTCTTCTGATTCTTGTTTCTAGTTCTCATTCTTCTTATTATATATTATTTCTCAATGTCAGACACTGGATGCCTGTTTCCGTCTTCACTTATCTCACTGAGTGTACATCAAGATAATGATAGAAATAAGTGCAGGACTTTATCATTCTTTCCCTAACAAGTTTTATTTTTATTTGAATGTTTTCAATTAACCAAAAACAAATGCTTTTAGATTCACTTCATACTGAGTGAAACATGGAAAGTAAATGCAAAAATGCCACCAGATGTTAATAACGGAACATTTTTTAATAATAATAGATAATAAGTAAAATAATTATAATATAAAAGCTGTGTTTTATTGACTGTGAGGTAAAATGTGCTCTTTAATAATGTAGGATTCCTAATTATTTTTAATAATCTGAGCATTGCAGTAAGAGTGACTCTATGCACAGGAAGTCAGTCAATTAAGAGAACTTGTTGTTACCATGTCTCATTTTAACATTCAAGTATAATAGGTGTTTGATTTCTGGCCTGTGACTAACCTGCTTAAAATAATACAAATTTTCATCAGCTTCTTTTATCAATTGTAGCACTTGTTAAACTCATTAGAGATGTTCAATATTTGTACCTGTATCTACATACTAAATATAACTTTATTTTGTAAGCCTCTCATTTTGCATATAAACCATCAGAACATCCTTTTAAGACTTTGCAAGATAATAAGCAGCTATGTGAAATTGTAGTTAAAACAGTTTTGGTTGTGTCATTTTGCTTAATGCTTCATTCACATTTCATCCTTTTGTGTACTTTTGGTTTAAAGCTACTTTTCTTGATTTTGGCTCGCCCCAGTTTAATTATATTTTAGTCTATAGTGTGCTTCCAACTCTTTGGCAACAGTTTCCTCTTGACAACATCCTGTGCATAAAGCCAGGTTCATCCAACACATTTGGGATGAATTTGAACACCAACCGTGAGCCTTATCACCCAAAATCACTTCCCTGACCTCTCTAACGCTCTGGTGGCTGAATGGGAGCAAATCTCTGCAGCCAGGTCCAAAAATAAGAGTCACGTCTCCCCATTAGAGTTGAGGCGGTCACAGCAGCATATTGCATGTGAGGAATGTTATGCTGTCCATATACTTTTGGCCATGTGCTGTACTTGTTTAGTACCGACCTTCGTCTCAATGTCACTGAGCAGGAGATATCCTCCCTGAACCTCGATGATCATCTCCTGCGACCACAGACGACCTTTGGCATCCAGCCTCTTGAGTTTAGCCACGCAGCTGTCCACTGTCTTCAGCTCCTGGCCGTCGAGCTCACAGGTGAACAGGTGCTGTGGAGTCAATGTAGAGGGTCATGGATGAGGAGAGCTGAAAGGTTGTACTGTCAGTAGCTGGGGCAGATTTCATACTTATTTACCTCCACTCTGACGTGAAAGTTGTCAGATTGTCTGTTCAGCGTCTCAGAGTACTCCTTTCTCTGCACTGGTGGAAAGAACATTGACAACAACATTGTTAAAAGAAATGTAAAAAAAAAAAAAAAAAGTTAAATAAGATGAGTTTTAATGAGTGAACATACTGTATATTGACTTTCCACTAGGTCTGGACATGTTGTTTCTCTGCAGTGGAGACTGCCTGAGGTCATCTTGTTGGACAGCCCATCTCGGCTGAGGGAGGTCCTCCTTCGAGAAACCCCTGAAGCATAATAAAAGGTAACTTATCAGACAGGAGTGGGGCACAATCATGGGGCTGTGGCCAGCCTTACAACCTGATCGTCACCAGTGACTAAAAGATAAGCCATCCACAGCCCACAGTTCACAACAGCTGCACAGTTACCACAACACAGCAGTGTTTTATCATGAAAGGGTGTGAACAGGTGGGAAGAGCGTTGTAAAGATCTAAACATTTTTGCTCAAAAGCTTAATCGAATAAATACCAGTGATCCGTGAACCTGAAAGTGAAATTAAACTTTTACTGACCTTGGGGAATAAGAGAAAGGTCCGCTGTTTCCATACATTTTCAAACTACAACGTCCGGCTGTTTTGGAGTTAAAAACTTCAGATTGGCAAGAATCACTAACCTGTAAGAAAAGATATTTCTCATGCTGACAAATGACAACAGCAGCAGCCCAAATTAGTTTCATATTAAACCAGGACAGGTGGTTGCGTAGATACACTCTTCACATAAAGGTACAAAGGATTTGTTTACTCAGTTGGTATGTTTACAGCTTAAAGTGAGACTATATATCTTTTGAAATAACGTATTCTGCCTTTTACAAATTAAATGTTGAATTCAGAAGCAATAAAATACACGGTATCCCAGTTCAACACACAGTTCAACACATTCAGCAGTTTTACTGCTACAACCTGGTCGGTTATTTAAGGGTGGTTGTTAGAAAACTTAACACAGATTGTTTTGAATGTTATATAATTACGCTATTGCCCTGTGTCACTTGATGACTCAGTGGCTTATTCAGCCTAAATTACAAAGTTTTTCTTTAAAATTGAACTTGAAATGAAAATTATGCAATAATAAAGCAGTAAAAGGGAAATGTGCTGTCAGTTACACAACCTGTTATAAACCCAGTTAAGATTAACCAAGTTACAATAATTATTAATCTGTATAATGAAGACTTTACACTGAAATACCATTTATGCTGATACAAGACTCAGTTTGATGTATTAAGACGTTAAAGACACAAATTCAACAAACACTTGCTCCAATTTAGCAAAGTAACACATCATAAATACAACATTTCAACTGTCACATAGTTTCTGGATTAAATGTAGGATTGTCAGATGAGTTTACTCTAAATCACATTTACATAATTCATCCAGTTATTACCCGTCAGCGGCAGCTCTGCTCCGGTGTCATTGTTCCCTTCTACCAAGACCGTTCACAGCAGAAAGCACCTGTTCCTCTCACAGCTTACAGAGAAATTTCCTTGACTTCCTGCTTGAAGGCACCAGGATCAAAGTGCAAGGACGGTAATGACGGATGAGGAGGGTTGGCCCGCTTTGCCATCTGAGGCTATTTGAGGTATGATGGAAGGAAGGCAGCAAATCTGTGACCATTATGAGTGCAAAGGTTTAGAAATGCTTCACAGTATCTCCTTCAGAGATCAAAGGTCTTAAGTGCCCCAGAAAATGCTCTTATGCAATCACCAAGCTTAAGCGTAATCTATTGCAGCTATAAAACTGACGGTAAGTACATTCCAAATACACCTAACATCATTGAGAAAATACACAAAGAGAAATAAACAAACATTGCTTGAGGTGGAAAAACACAAGTAGCCAGTTTAAGATGAATAAGAGAACCATTTATTTTACTATCTGACGTGTAAATACTGTACACACCCATAATATTGACAGAGACCATCTTTAAAGAGGAAATTGTTTATTCTGTAAAGAAAAAGTGAACGTCTCGTCTTGGGACAATGAGTTGGGGGTTAGAGAAGTCTTCTCTGAAGACTTGACAGTTTAGGCTCTAGCTTGAGCCTGGCTGGCCTTCGCCAGAACCTTCAGGTCTGTGATGCACTTGGCAATGCTCTCTTTCTCCTGAAAAACACAAAAACATAGATATGAAGCCCTGAAGTGTCGCCTCGTTGAAGTCTGTACAATTCAATACAGCAGCAGGGGCCTGAAGATCGGGAAGGAAAACCCCATAACTTTCTCACAATAAAGATAATTTTACTGTTGTGAATTGTGTTAATAGTGATTCTCTTACATTGGAAGTACATCAATAATCAAACAATCAACAGGAAAGGTAAGTTTTTGGTACTATTGCCGATAAAAGGGTGAGCTCCAAACAATTATTTTATTTGATACATTGTTTGAAAAAAGCCAAAAGCTCTGGAAGCTTAAAGAATTACCTAAATAAAATACAATGTAAAATCGGCAAAGTTGAATTAAATGAGGAACTGATCAAAGAAAACAGTATCTATATAATAATATATATTATAAAATATAACATCAGTATTTTTTTATGGAGATAATATTTGAAATACGGGATCGTCTGATATTGGAGGACTAAACGTCTGACATCGTTCACATTTAACACCTATTACATTCTCAGAACGTTGGTGAAACACCGGCTCCTACAAAAAGGTGTTGCATTGTGGGTTATTTGTAGCCCCTTAATGTTTAAATCCTGTACTGTGCTTGTTATCATTTACTCATTGTGTCGTCCCAGTCAACGTGTGTGTATGTGTGAAATCAGAAGTGTCACAAATTCAGAGTTCGTCCAACTGGGAAATATGGTCACAACTCTCCTTCTGTTCCTGAGTTATGGTATAGAATAATGGTCAAGGACATTACGGTGTCACAGTGAAGTTGACCTTTGAGATATATATTTACATATACAATTGAATGGATTCTTGAGTTATGAACAAAAACATGTTTGTCAAGGTCATTTTGAGGTCACAGTGACCTTTGAGTCAAAAGTGTCACCAATTCACCAGCTGACCAATTTTGAATTATGGCGTTTCGTGAGGTCGCAGTGACCTTTGACCACCAAAATCTACATCAGTTCAATCTTGAGTTCAAGCCGACATTTGTGCAAATCTGAAGAAACTCTCGAGGCGTTACTGAGAGGTCGTGCTTGCAAGAAACTGACCTGCTGAGGAGTGATGCTGCTGACGACATTCTTCTCCACCCAGCTGACCAAGTGCTCCTGCTCCATCCGGCGGTGGAGGTTCTGCAGGGCGAGCTGGTACTCCAAGCGCCTCTTCACCTCAGTGGTCACCATGTGTAGCCTCTCTCTGTAGTTGGTCTCCAGCAGCATGGCCACATTGTTCTGAGAGAGAAAGAGGAGTCCATGAAACCACACTGTAGAAATATCTGGTCTACACTGCTCCAATTGTTGGGAGTAAGCAGGTTAAATTCCCTCTTATATACTTGTTCTGTACGAAGCAGTACATTATGACCAGTGACAATAATTGAGAATAAAAATGGTGCTTACCCTCTTAGCGTCAAAGAGCATTGATCTTCCCTCTACTCTCCACTGTTCCTTCTTCTCATCCTCAATAGCCTGAGTAAGCACAGATATGGCCTGGTCTTTCACCTCCTGAGCCTTGGCCACTTTTTCCTGCAAACACACACAAGCAGGATCACAGAGGTGCTCACAGAGGTTGTACACAAAAAGAAGACTAATTTTATTTGACTGATCAAAGAAATTACAAATCATCTGTCCATTACTTCAAACACCACAAGAGTAATAAGCATCCACACACTCCAATCTGAAATATTTTCAAACTACCTCAGAAAAAAAAAAAGATAAAAACACTCAATATGGTTGCCAGCCTACCTCGTTCAGTTTGTCAGCAAAAGCTGCAACACTTGGACCAAATTTCTTGACACCCACGACGATGATGGTGCCTATTGAAGCGGCAGCAAAGGTCTCATGGTTGATGACGTAGAGTTCCTTGGAAAGCAGGTAGACAAGGAGGCCAGTGCCCAGCATGTAGGGTCCTAGTGAGAATAGGAAAAATGTACAAATCTTTAAAATCGTCAATGAAACGATGTTCATACACCAGCTAATTTAAGAAATATATAACACATTAAATTAAGTAAAAAAACATCAACAATGACACCTAAGGCACACAGCTCTGACTTTGGGCTTTTGATGTGTAAAGTTTTTCAGACAGACAGTGTCAACGTATGTAGCATGGGGTCAAGCTGCATTAATTTTTTAATGTTTAAAATTTAAAATTAGGACTTTTATTTGCCACCGTCTTATCACATGAATTGCACTGCACTATATATTATATTCTCCTGTTAATCTGTCTTTATTTTAAATCATGTTTTAGTCTGATTCATGTAAAGCACTTTGAATTGTTTGTTTATTCCAAGGTCTACTCAGATAATATCTTTGGGTTACCTAATGCTCATAGCTAATGAGAATGAAGGGTACCATTTTTAGAGTAGCAATTAAAATTGGAATTCATTATTTCACCTGCGTGAAGGGATACAGAGATACTCAAATGATCAGCGGTTCACTTAAGATCTTTTCATGACAAATTAAATAACCAAAAGTTAAGTCTGCATTCTGGTGACTGACCTGTGACTCCAGTTTTGGGGTACAGGAGCTGGAAAAGCTCCTCTGGGAAGAGTCCATGACGGACTTTGCCTCCCGTCTCTGGCAGAGGGGGCACTGGGGCCAGACTCTGGGACGTTGTGTGCAGGGAGCGAGACGCCTGGACCAGACTGTGGGAGACAACATTATTAAAAGCTTTGACAGGGACAGCCCTCATAGGACTTGTATTCCTTGTTGCTACAATGCATCACTGTGTTAGTAACAAATACAAATAAAATAACTGCTAAAAGACACATACCCAGCTCCAAGGGGGCCACTGCCTTTGAGGGCACTGGCTGCAAACAGAACAAACAATGACATGAATTCAGGGCTGCACCAAAAGCTTGTTTTTCATTCATTCAAGTTTATTCTGTTATTTATTATTATAATCAGCACCTCTTTAAAAACAGCTCGAACAAAAGCAAACCATTATAACATTTTTGAAGACTGTAGTGTTGATGTAACTAATAGACTGGCAACGAAGTGTTTAAGTTTAAGTTTACTAAATAATTACTAAAGGTCAGCAAAACCCTGTTAAAGGATGAGGCCACTTCAGTAACAGCACATCAACTAAACGTCCAGTAGCATTTAGACTGCGTTTAAATGAGCAACTTGTGAACGCATTATAGTGGAAACACACATTTGGTGGACTTGCATTGTGAATCCAGTAAAGTTTGTCCTCAATAGAGACGTAAAGAACATAAAACCGACCAACGCCAGCTGTCAATAGGTGACATTTGCAGTCGTCCGGAGCTAACGCTAGCCACCGTTAGCTATCGTAATCTAACGTTAGCTGTAACAGACCGTTGTGGTGTCTGCTGGACAACACAGAAAGGACTACACACGTATTAACATCATCAATAACTGTGGACATGAATGCAACCGAATAAACCAGCTACAGTTTCAGTGTTTATTAGTTACACTAGCTACCCACTGCTAGGATTAGCATGTCTCATTCCACGCGCGGCCTTCACTTTACCCTTCAGCTTCACTTTCATTGTTTCTCCTCTCTGACAGTCTGACGATGCAAAACGTGAGTTTGTATCCATCATCTTAAACAACAACACTGGTGCATACCTGAGACAATGACGAGCCTGGACAACATGTTTGAAGTGATGAGTTTCTCGCTGACACCGGGCACCCTTGCTTCGGCCTCTTCGTGCCCTTCTGCAAAGAGCCACAAGGATGGCGGATACACGAGATATCCTCCTGAAATATCGCGAGAGTACAGCCGCTCTCCTCAGAGTCGTTACGTGAAGCGACCGCTATATGGCGCTGTGTGCAAAGATAAAATGTGTCACTGCCCCCGACGCCGACTTTGGTTTCATTTAGGTAATTAAGCTATAATTAAGGAGTTATATATGATGCTAAGATCCAGGGTTTTGGGTTATTTAATCTTGGAAAAGCTCCTGATTTTAATCAGAACTGTCATTAAAAAATGTATTGTATCAAGTCCAGGCTCGTTTAAAATAAACTGTGCACAAATATTTATTCCACTTATGGTCTTGAATGTAAATAGTATTATTATTGGGTTTTTTTTTAAAGCCTGAATGATGTCTAATAGCCTATAAAGATCCAGGTTCACGTTGAATTCAGGCCAGTGGCTTTGGCAAAGTTACAAAGCTTTAAAGACCTGTAAACACGCAATCAAGCATGCTCAACATAAAAACAATAACAGGTATATTTTAAAATTATTCTTTTTTTTTAATAAGCTTGTAATAATAAAAAATAAATAAGTCTGTTTAATGCAAATAACACACACACACACACACACACACACACACACACACACACACACACACACACACACACACACACCACCAGTGAATGATGAAGCTGTTGATGCTCTGTGTAGTCCCTTACACCTTCATCAGTCAGTAACCAAATCTACTGAAAACAAGACTGATGTTAGTTTTAAAAAATGTAAATTTCCAAGAGGCAACCACACACACTGCACAGCTCTCTCGCCCGTGTGGTGTCTTTAACCCCAGACTGCATGCAGGGGGAATTGGCTGGGTCTGTGTGTAATCTTGGGGCCCACCCGTGTATGGCATCAGTTTGGTGCGAGTGGCTGCTGAGATAGAGGAACATATGACGCTGTGGTTCTCTTCACTTCCTGTAAAGTTATGCTCAGCAGAAACAGCTACATGTGAAACACAGACAAAAAAACCCCGCACACTATTTCAGAGGAGTTAGAAAATGGATAATTTCTGAAGCACCTCATGGAGACATTTTCCCCCACTGAATGAGATGGCGTTATAGGTAAGGTCTATCACGTTTTGTTGCTTATTAAAGCCACAATTTGTCTTTGCATTATCTCGTGCATTCTCCCTCCGCAGCGTCAATCAACACATCCCAGGGCCTAGTCTGTCTTTAATAACTCTGGTCAGCGTTAAAGGAGCTTTCTGACAAAATACAACCACAGTGCAACACCTACTATTACTATTTACCATTAACATTACTACTAAAAGCACTACTGCTAGTAGTATTACGAGAGCTAGTACTACTGTAGCTGCTTCTGCTGCAATTCATCCGCATGGTCCACAGAGAAAATGCATCTCTGTGCAAAGCAGAGCGTCTTAAATGTAAAAGATGCTGTCAAGGCTTCACATTCTGCTTTATTTTATGCATTCTGCTCACACAGGACTGACTTTATTTATTTACTTTAAAGTCTCTTGAGATTAAAATATCAGGCCAGTATCAGAGAAAATACATATTTATACTACCCAAGCATGAGAACATATTTCAAACACTTATAGTGTTTATGTGAATATGAAGAAAAATACGAAATGTTATATCTTCAAATGAACCATCTGAGTCATCATTTTGCACCTGCAGCACTTAAAAAACGTATTTTTCAGCTACCTATAATATTTTATATGCATCAGTAAATTCATTTCATACTGTATAGTGCATCAACATAGTTGATAATTAATCTCCTGATACACTGTGGTTATAGGCTCCTAATCATTCATTCTTTTGCCTGCTCTGTTTTTGCCACATAAAAACACTCAGACCCAGCCTCCACCCTGCCCTGCGGTTACTCCTCTACCACCATTCCCATCAACTGACCTTCCCCTGCTAACCCTAACGCAGTCCTTGTGTTGCGCCTGTGGGTGCAAACCTGGTTTCCTGTCTTCACACAGCCATGGACGCCCTGACTATTAGGGGAATACAGGTCTCCCCAGTGAGAGACTTCGACCAAATAGTGGAGATCAGAGCCGAGAAACATGAACACCTGCGAGGACGTAACAACGTGACTTCATGTCGCAGCCCTACGAGAGAGTTTAACACAAGACTGATAAAGAATGAACTGAAGGAAAAGAGGCATCTGGAATTTCTGAGGAGGAGATCAGTGAGCCCAGAGCTGTGTGGTGTGAAGCCCACAAACCGGTCTAAGAAGACACAACATTCACCAGAGACATTTTCAATGAAACATCAGTCATCATCAATCAGCAAGTCAGAGACACTGTATACAAATATCCAAAATACTCCTAAAGCTAATGGATATCCAGTGATTTTAACACCCAACAGCAACATAACTGATGGCCCAGGCAGCAGGAAATGGGTAAACACAACACACACTTTGACATTATTAAGAGTGTTATTTCACCAGACCAGAGTTTCTTCTCCCCACGTCCACAGGGAATAATACCTGCATCCTCTTCTCTCCTCAGGCTTCGTTATGGCCCGAACAGGTAACACTGATGAGGCAAGAGAAAGGCCATGTAAGGGTGCAAGCATCTACCTCTACGTCAGCGGTACAGGAGTCAAACCAGCACTTTTTACTCTCTCGCCAAATAGAAAAGATTCAACACAAATTCTCTGTCCAAACTGAAAATATTGTTCAAAAAAAGATACTGCGAGAGACCAGCGTGCAGACAGAGTGAGTTTCATTTAAATCTCCCTGAAACATTTAATTTCAAGGTTTATATCAGAGTCAGCTGTGATCAGTGTTTTGTATTTCTATAATGAGATATTTCCTTCTGTGCAGGTCGGGTCTTATCACTGTCAAGGAGTCAGTAAGTTTCAAACTGTTTGCTTTATTTAGTCTCATTAAATCATTTAAAATGTTACCAAATTTAACTGAGTTTCTTGTCTCTCAACTCTCACATAATAGGATGTGCAGCGGTTAGCCGACTACTTGCAGGTAAAATTTTCAAACTGACACACTTGATTGATGATATAACAACTTTACTTTATGATTCAGCCCACATTTTACAGTGTCATTTGATTGTGTGAATCAAGTGCTCATAAAATACTTACTGGTTCCTACTGGTACTTAAAGGTACACATAAAGAAGACAAAACTATATTGAACAAGGAAGTAACAACTGTACAGAGGAAATATACCCAATGTACCCAATATTTATTACACTTGCGTTACATTTATTACACTGGGTAAAAGCAAAGGGCAAACGTTGTGTTGTACTTTCACAATAAGGAACATCACCTACACTGGAGTCGGTCCAAACAACAGACTCTTGCAGGCCAAACCACTCGTGCAGTGAGCTATCAAAACTGTGAATTACATAAGAGCCTAATAGCTGTTCAGGTTCTGCAGAATATCAGTGTTAAAGGGGCTGTTAGTGAAATTGGCCTTTTGGTTAACTTCCTGTCCGTCCTCCAGTCCCCTCCCTCCTCCTCTTCCTGTTCTCTCGCTTGATTGCCGACTGGAGAAAGTGGAAACAGGATACAAGAAAATGTATTGTGTTTACTGCAGAGGGACTGGGACAATATCACAACAATATCCCTAACAGTAACTTTAAATATTTTTGTAAATAAAACTAAATTAATTATTTAATTAATTTACAAAAATAATATAATTTATTTCTCTTTTCTTCTAAAATGTTACTTCCTTGTTCCCCATAATCCCCAAGTAACCACTAAGGCCACGGGCCATTTCTCCACTATCCCTCCCTCTGGCCCACAAGATATTTTTTTAATAATTATTTTCTGGTTGTTTCATGTAAATTTGAACTAACAATTCATTAACATTTAAAATAAAAACACAAGTCTACTTTTAAAAATGTATTTTGTTTGGCTGAAGTCAAACGGCCCGCCAATGTGTGCGAAGGGTTGATAAGGAGAAAGCAGGCTTCAGGTCTTCTATAATGAGGATATAACATAATAATATAAAATGTATATAAACTGATATTTGCATAGTTTTTAAGTATGATTTGAGGAAATATTATATATTACCCTTTCTTGTAATACTTGACACTGAAGTGGCCCTCCTATGAAATGACAATAGCACTGTACTAACAAACACTACACTAAGTATTTTATTGGTATCTGATTCATACAACAAAACTACACTGTGAATGTATTTTATAAAGTGTTATCTTGAATTCATAAATAATACAATCCAGCATTTCTCTAATCACACATTGGTTTTGATCTTTGATCTGAAGGAAGCTACTTGGTTTGGGTATGACGTGTAGCTTATGGTGGCTAACGTTAGCAAACTTTATCTAGATTTCCTGCTATTACTGAAGTAAGTTGTGTGACTTTATAGTGCTTCTCTGCACCAAACAGTGGGAAGTCAAAATAGACTATTACTATTTAATTTGCACCCAGTACGTGAGAGCATCATTTATTTTAAACATGAGGTTAATACATTTAGCTACGCTCAGTAAGTATCTCTCTTCTTCTGTGTGTTTCCTGTCAGGAGGCCCTGTGGAGAGAGGAGGCAGTGAAGAAGAAGCTGGCAGCCCTCCAGGACAGCACGTCAAACCTCGTGAACTCCTCCAGCAAAATATGGACTGTAAGACTCTCCATCTGTATGCACACACTGTTTACATAAATGCACCCAAAGTGTTCCAGTCTCCAAATACCAAACCCATCTTTCTTGTTTTATGAGGCCGTGTTGTTGCTGTTCATTTCTCTTTGTCTGCTGGTTGATTCGACACAGAGAATGTGTTTGTCACAGCTGTGTACACACCAGTGTATGGCAGCTGCTACCTCAGGAAGGCCTGTGCAGACTGTGGTTTGGAGCTTCCTGCTTCCGCTCCAGCCTATACCGCATAGGATGAGTGCAAGCTGTCAGTCTTATACAGGAAGGGCGTGGTAGTCAGTAGCTTATAGGTGCTATGCATCCTCATTAGCTCTCTTTTGGCTTCTCAGACTGTAATGAATGAAGGGGAAATACTGGTGTTTCCCTTTTTTTATTTTATAGTTTTTTAATTTGGGTTTGAAAAGCTGAGGATCTAGAAGCTTATTTAGTGTAAATAATTTATGTTTTTCATCTGTCTGTCTGTTGTTTTTCACTCAGGTATGTTATCATTAGGAAACTATTATTTTGCACACTTGCACATGCACATCACATTGTGATCTGTCTTGAGGCTCACTGAAGTTCCCTTTATGCACCAGTGAGCGCGGGCAGTGACAGAACACGCTGTCACAGATTTTGGTACATGAAGCATTCATTTTCCATCTGCAGGTTACAGCGTGACAGTCAGTCATTTCCTTTCTCACCCACACAGGCTCGCTGCAGTGAAGACCTACTGAGAAACAAGATCAAGGCTCTGGAGGCGCAGCTGCAAGTCTGCCTGCAGGTAAGAACAGAAGCTGGTGATACAGAGGCAACCTGGTGATGATTTTTTAATCATGCAATGGGAGTTTTTTATGTTTGAGTTGATTTATAATTGTTATATAAAACAACTCAAACATTTTGTCCTTCCTAAAACAGCCAACCCGCTCTACACTTTCACTCTGTCATTCAGTGATAGTGTGCAGTGCAGTATCTGAGCATGCTCATATGTGGTATTGGTTTGCATCTCACCACGTAAGCATTTGCAGGTTTAACTCAGCGGTGTTTGGTCCTTTATAGAAGTTTCCCAGGGATGGAGTGAAGAAACTGGTGCTACAGATGGAGAAGCAGAAACTGGCGTATGAGGAGAAGGCCTTGGCTGCCTTGCAGAAGGCCACACAGGACAAAACAGAGGCGCTCACCAAGGCTGAGGCAATGCAGGTCAAATATCCAGCTTTTAACCTCTATCTCACTCTGGAGAAAGACACATTAACGTCACTGACTTATTTGGGTTTTGCATTGATAGACGTGTGGGTTTTTTTTTTTTTGCCACCAGGAAGCGTTAATTACAGCAAAGGCAGAGGCACTGAGATGGGAGAGCCTTTATGAGGATCTGAAGATAAACTGTGGACAACTGAGGGAGAACCAACTCTTCAGCAATGAACAGCTGCAACAGCTGCACAGCCAAGTGGAGGTACAGGATAGTCCGTGTCCTTGTTGGTTCAGGAGTTTATGATTTGTAAATGGCTGTGAAAAACATATGTGTCCTGTGCAGCTGTCCAGAGCCAGAGAGGACGAGCTGAGGGAAGAGGTGGTGTCATTAAGACAAGAGAAGCAGGAGCTACAGTACAACATTTGCCTGCTGGAAGGGAAGAACCAGATGTTAAGAGAGGAAATTCAGCACCTTAAAGGCAAGACACTTAGACCTCAGAGTCTGTTTTTTTTTTACTTTATATGGCAGTAATTGTGAAACTAAACACCAAGTTCTCTTTGTCGCTTTTAAAATGACTGTAGAGGCAACATGGATAATTTATTTAAACTACTGTTTATTTCCTAGAGTGCAGCAATGAGACCCAGGACTTGATTGAGTCAGAGGAAGCAGAGCAACAACTGAGGAGAGACTCTCAGGTGGAGGAGCAGCTCCGTCACACTCAGGAGAAACTCCGACTCAAGGAGAGAGAGGTAAACTGGGGCTTTATCACAGTACACTGGAACACATTCACAAGCTTCATGTTTAATAATGACAGCTACAAAATAGATATCCATGAGACCACAAGTGCAGAGACTGTTGCATAATGTTTGTTTTTACAAAAACTGATAAACATGCTTTAAATAATATGTGCAGAAGGTCATAAATCAGTTGTTTTAGAATAGTCTACTTCTCCATTCTGTGACCATATAAATCTTAAATAACTTTTTTGAGTATCAAAAATATTATGATACTAATATTCATGAAGATGCTTTTAATATTACTTGTCCTCGTTTCTGGAAAACATTGTAAAGGTAAAGGTGCAATCTCTTGCTTTACACACATGTTGAAAAAAAAAATTATGCATTTTTGAACATCACCTGAATTGTAAGTATGTGTGTTTGTGTGTTTGTGTGTGTGTGTGTGTGTGTGTGTGTGTGTGTGTGTGTGTGTGTGTGTGTGTGTGTGTGTGTCTGTGTGTGTGTGTGTGTGTGTGTGTGTGTGTGTGTGTGTGTGTTGTGTGTGTGTGTGTGTGTGTGTGTGTGTGTGTGTGTGTGTGTGTGTGTGTGCAGTGCGAGGAGCTGCAGACAGAGCTGCATGTCATGGAGCAGGAGTGTCAGTCCAGCCAGGCCCGGCTGTCACAGTGCAGGGATGAGCTTCGGCAACTCGGCCAGCGCCACAAGAGACCGGTGAGTTGTGTGTGTGTGTGTGTGTGTGTGTGTGTGTGTGTGTGTGTGTGTGTGTGTGTCCTTGCTATACTCAAATGCTCTCATTCATCCATACATTATAAACTAACAGTTATGAATTGTTTTATACTTTATGTACCAATATGTATTTTGGACTTACTTACATATGTACATTATGCAGCAAATGTAGTAAAAGAAGTCTTCTCCTCCCTCTTTGTTTAGACGCGGCTGTGTGGCTCCTGGTGGAAGGTGTGGATGTTCTTCCTTCTACTCCTCGTTGTGGTGGAAGTTGCCCTGCTGTGGCTGTGGTATCCTCCTTTCAGGGAGCAAGTTGAAGATCTGTACTCAGACATAGAGACACGCATTGAAGACTATCTAGTGGAAATGGCCTCTCCTCAGCACTCAAGCTGTTTTAGACCAATATGATAATGGCACTGCTCAGGAATGTTATTTTTATTGTTGCTTTTGTTTTAAAATAAGGCTATTTTAGGATATTAGGATATAGTTTGTTGATATTTTTGTATTTTATACTATTTCAGACTTGGAGCGTGTGTGTATGTGTGTGTATGATGTGTAGGATCTTCAAATACAAGTGAACACTTAAAGTGTGAAAAATATAACAATGTTTGCAACAATTACAAGATGTTGAAAGCACTATCAGCGCACAAGTCAGCTGAGGTTAATAACATTTTAAGAACCTGTGATGTTTGTGTCAACAAAATAGGGAAAAATGAGGAAGTATCCTCTTTACTGTAAACAGCTTATTTAGTCAAAAGCGCCACCTTGAATTATTAGAAAAGACATATAAAACATCAAAAGCACTTAAAATGAAGATAAAATATCACAGTAATGCTTTCAGCTGTTGTGGTGACATGCTGGGGAGTTGTTTTAGATTCACTGCTGGGGGAGTAAGCACTCAATAAAAGAGCCATTAGAGTTTAATATTATAAGAAATAAAGAAATATTGTCATACGAAATGTTACTGTTTGTCGAGTTTTCTTTTGAATGTTGTCTGAGTAAGATACCCAAGGTCTCCATTGTGAAGACATTATTAGGAAGAACCACAGTTAAATTGGTCAGAGAGGACAGTTTATGGGCTTACTGCATGGAAATGGGATTTCATTTGCTGTCTCATCGTTACAACAGTATCACTGATTAGTGAGGAACAATCTTCATCATCCATTGACCAACATTAATTCCCCTGTGGGTAATATTTTATCCTACTTGGGGAGTGAAACTTTCTGTGAACCACTAGACTGTGAAATCCACTTTTACCCTCTAAAATCTCCCCTACAGACAGTCTCCTACACTGTCTTACAAAATCCCAACATCTCCATATGAATATATTGTAAATAATAAAAGTGAAAACTTCTTGGACCACTGAATGTTATTTCTAGGAGACGGGGGTTGCTGTCTGACCAGCTTCAACTACTTTACAAGTTAACAATAAATAATTGACATTTGTAGAAGTGTTGGAAGACGTATTTATATCCTTCACTTAAGTAAAAGCAGTAATACTACACAAAAAATATTGAATTACAAGTAAATGTTCTGCATTTCAAATCTTATCTGAAAAATGTAGTTAAAACAACCAAAGTAAAACATTATGCAACCTACTGTCAGAGTTAAATATATAATATAATATAATATAATATAATATAATATAATATAATATAATATAATATAGTATAAAACAATATTGGATCATCATTACCGATGGATACATGTAAGCAGCATTTTAATACTGCAGCTGGTTGAGGTTGAACAAATTTGACCTACTATAGACAGTAATCTACAACAACACATTTTACAACATATTTTAAGAATCCATCATTTGTTTTTGTTTTTTTCATTTGACAGAGACACCTGAAGTGGGAAAGCCACCGGGCACCCTATCCGTCATATATTTCATATGTAAAATGATGAGGTAAATCACAAAATACAATATTTGCCTCTGATATAGAGTAAAAAGAAACCACCTGAAAGATTTTCTCAAGATTTATATTTCAATTATTAGTGCATAGGCAACACGGCTACTATAGAGAACTGTGCATATTTGTAACATATATTTTATTTTGGTTTCAGTTTACTTAAATCAGTATCAATAATCCACTTTTTCAGCTCGTCCTGTATGAGCCCATACACACATTTTGTCTACAAACATTGTGCACTAGTCACATTAGTCCAGGTTTAAATAATGAAGCACCCGCAGCACCGCAGCAGTGCTCAGCATTAGCTGTCTCGTGGTGTGATACTGGCACTCTGTGGTAACTGCCAGCTGCTCATGTCTAAGCTAAAATGACAGAACGATTCACAAATGTTCATGAAACTAACATGACATGACACATGGTACCATCTATTGTCTGATTACACTCAAACTTAGAGACAAAACACACTCAAAGCTGAACTCTCTGAGTGGGATGGAGCTATTGTTTATTGTATTCAGTGGTTTTAACTGTTCTAGATAAAGCTCCATTCTCAACAGGCACTGACACAGCACATCCACCACACAGATCTGCAGCCCCTGTCTTTCATCCACGTTTACCTGCATGTTCCCCAAATACACCACAGGTTATTGAAGAGATGGATCTTTGCTGGACTGGGGTCAGTCTCCCGGTGAGCCTGAAGGTAAGAGGCTGCAAAGCCGGTCCCGTGGGTGCAGATGGGGCGAAGAGGTTTTTGTAACATATTTCACAATGTGACAAAGAGGATCTTGCCAAACTCTCTTTTACTTACAGAGTGACAATCTTCTGCAAGATGAGGACTGCAGTTCTGCTGTTTGTTGTCGGGTTGTGTGCGTTGAACGTCACATCATCCCTGAAAATCTGCGCTTTCAACATTCAGAGCTTTGGCGAATCAAAGTCCAACAACAAGAAGGTTATGGGGATTCTCCTAAAGGTACTGTCCTGCAAGTGCGAAACATCTAGAGCACCAGCCATACAAAACTAGACAACTGATTTTCTTCTTTTGCTTCCAAGATTCTTTCTCGGTGTGACTTGTGTCTCATTCAAGAGGTCCGAGACTCTAAAGGAGAGGCCATACAAACTTTGGTGAAAGAGCTTAACAGGTGCAAGCTTTTGTGGATTGTGGGCAAGTTTAAAGGATCTGGTGAATCTTCTGTCTCATAAAACAACCTCCAATCAACACCTTAGAGTTTAAACTTATCTCATTTATGCTGTTGTAATCAGATTTCACAAATCCAACCCATACTCCTATGTGGAAAGTGAAAGGCTGGGAAGGAAGACCTACAAGGAGCAGTATGTCTACATTTACAGGTAACCCATTTCAAACAGAATCCCTTTGCTGTTAATAGTCAGTTTAATCCTTAATCGTCTTTTTTCCTCTTTCATTTTCTCCAGGAACAACATGTTGAAGGTCAAAGAGCATTATCAGTATCCTAAAGAAGAAGGAGATGGGAGCAATGAAACTGAAGTTTTCTCCAGAGAGCCTTTCATTGTTCGCTTTCACTCCCCTACAACATGTACGATGAAACAAAAGGCATTTGTGGAATTATACAGGAAAAGAAATTGCATGATAGTACACACTGGTATACCACATAATTGTTGGGACTATCCATGATGATAATCCATGATGTAAACATCATGACATGCTTTCCAAAAACCTGGATGTGCTGGGTGGATTACACCTTATTCAGATCCAGAACTTAAAGAATCAAAAATCTGGTTTACATTATGATCGTGTATTGAGGGATTTCAAAGTTCCTCTATGTTCCATGTGAACACCAAGTCCCAAATATGATTATACTTTTTTTTTGTTGTTGTTGTTGCAGTGATAAAGGATTTTGTCCTGATCGGGCAGCATACTTGTCCCAGAAATGCCATGAAGGAGATTGACCAGCTGTATACTGTCTTCAAAAGAATTCACAAGAAGTGGAAGACTGACGTAGGTTACCTCATTTTGGTCATTTGTTTATCTCCTGTTGGTTTCATATATAAGAGACATTATAAGTAATTTCGATCTGTTGAACTTCCCTTTTTGCTTCCTCTCCATTCACCCAGAATGTGATGATCTTAGGGGACCTGAACGCCGGCTGCAGCTACGTCACCATCAAGGGCTGGAGAGCTGTGCGCTTGAGGAGTGACCCCAAATTTCACTGGCTGATTGGAGATAAGCAAGACACTACTGTCCGCCAGAAGACACACTGTGCCTATGACAGGTCAGTGATTGCTGGAAACTGACTTTCATGTGCACTCTCTATAATAACATGTGATTGAAGACTTTGTGCTGTAGAGGTCCATCGCGTTGGACAAGGCTATGCTTTACAGTTTGGCTTTTACTTCCAAATAGGATCATTATCCACGGACATGAGATTATCTCTTGTATAGTGCCAGGTTCAGCTCAGCCGTTCAACTTTAAAGAGGATTTCCATCTCACCGAAGAGGAGGTAAACATGTCAAAAAGTATACCTTTCTTTAGTTCACTTATATACTGGCATTGAACAATAATCCTGTTCTTTTGATGGCACTTTAGGCTCTTGAGGTGAGTGATCATTTTCCTGTAGAAGTTGACCTGAAGCCTAATCATCGCTACCTCCTACGCAATGAGCTGTAAGACCACTCAGAACAACAATCTACAAACCAGGATGTCTCAATTTTAACTGTAGTTTTACTTGATTTTAGCTGTTAAAATAAATAAAATGACCTAATAGATTATTCACTGATAACAAGTGTTCTTTTGTAAAATGGCAAAGTGGCACTGCAACTCTTCTCAGTTATATAAGACACCATGAAACATGAGCTGTTTCCTCACGAAGGAGTTGCGTGTTCAACTGCTGCTTTTTATTGTGCATCTGAAACCAAAACCACATCAAAGCTGACATCATTTCATGAGCTCATGAAGGTATGTTCCTGCAGCAACACAAAACACAAAACATTACTTCTGAGATTTTAAGAAAGACGTTTCATACACCTCTTTGATCATCTTCACTTTTAAAAAAGGTAAGCTAACATAATATATACTTGTGTAGTCTTATCTTTAACCATTTAGTTTTAATGTGTAATTTATTTGCCGTCTGTTTGACAGGAAGCCACTCGCATCGACAACAGATGAGAGTTACATCGTGTTCTCTTCCTCTCTGAGCGAAGAGATCATCTGTGGCAATGCCTTAATGTTTGTCTTGCTATAACTGCGACCATATTAACTACTGTTGCCACCATTTCGTGAAGATGGAACAAAGTTTTTCTGATCTACTTAGTGATGCGTTTTCAGGTAAGAACCATCTCTTAATATTGTGGTATTTATTACCTTTTTTTTTTTTTTTTGCTATTTATGAAAGTATTTAATTTTCAAATAATGATGTTGTTACAGAAACATCTGTTCCATCATTCCCTGATGGGGATTTGGACTTTGAGAATTTAAATTTTGATGAAAGATTTGAGGACAAAACAGACATCTCTCATGAAAACTTAACAACAAAGGAAGAAGAGGCTCTGCAACAGGAAGCAATGCTTCAAACTGCAGTTCTGTCTGACATGGAAACTAGAGATATTTACATGGCTGAAAATGTGGATGAAGAGCAGTCTGATGAGGAGGGTTTTCAAGGTGTACGGGTCATGGGCATGGACAAAACACCGGAGGAGGATTACACAAGCTCAGATGGAGATTCTGAACAGGAAGGTTCTGTCTCTGGAGACGATGAGGAAGAGGATGAGGAAGAGGACATGGGAACAGGAGAGGAACCAGGGGATTTGTTGATGTCAGTCCACTGCGGCAACGAGTTCTGCGATGGTAATAAAGAGGACAGGCTCTTTGCTCAGGGACAACCTCTGGCCCCAGAGGGTGCCGAAAACCCTCAAGTTAGAAATGAGGAGCCAGGTGAGAGTGAGAGTGATGAGGAGGTGTCCTATTTTGAGAGAGTCCCCAAACGTGGCAGTGAGATGATGACAAAAGGTGACGGGTTCGAAGAGGATGAGCTAGAGAGGGAAGAGAAAAAGCGAGAGGACTCCTCTGATTCTGAGTGCGAGGGCATGAAAATTGAGCAAGTACAAAATGTTCTCGCTCAGTGTTTTGAGCGTGAGCTTGAAAATCCTTGCAGAGACGTCCCAGAGAAAGCCAGTGGTGTGGAGTGTCCCGAGATATCAGCGCAAAATCTGCAGGATCTTCTTGCTGAAGTTGACGGTGAGGAGTACGTAGAGAAAATGAAGGATTTCTCAGAAGAGGAGCACCAAGAGGCAGGTGAGAGCTTTGCAGATTACCCCTCAGACTTTTCTTCATGCGAATACGTAGAAAATGGAGGGAAAATTCAAGAAAGTAATCACCAGTCCATTGCAAAGCAGGACACCTGCCTGGAAAGAGGTGTGACAGATGCAACGACAATGGCAGGGGCCCAGGGCAACGATAAGGAGGGAGATGAGTATCTGTACAGCATAGATTTAGAGGTGGATGCTGATAAGTTCAGGAGCCTGCATGTGACAAATGGAGAAAAAGACAGAGGGGAAGTAGAGATTGGGTGTGATGACGGAGGTGAGACGGATGAGAGTGACTCCTACACCTCCAGTGATGATGAGGTCCAAGTGAGGAGAAGCGATGAGGAAGTCCTGGAAAACATGTGTCCACAGGGTCGCGAAAACAACACGCAACTGGAGGAGCTTCATGGTGGGAGCACTGCAGCGTTTGCCAGATGGAGCACATCTGACGACTACAGAGTGGATCCAGGAGATTTCAACATAAACTGGAATCTGGACGTGTTAACAACTGATACCCTTCTGTCTTTAGACCTGTTAACCACAGAGGACACAGACAAAGCGGAAACCCTGCTTTCAGATGTGACTGCTGCAGAAGACGTCAACACCTACTCAGCGGTACAGAGAGAGAACACAAAAACCACAAGCCCTTCTAACCAAGGGTCTCTGGATGACAGCTTTTTCTTCAACACCGAACTGGAGGCCTCTGAGATCTCTGAGATGGGACAGTTGGGAGATGACGAGTCTGAAGAGGACAGGAACTGGGAACAAGAGCAGGAGAGAATCAGGGCTTTCTATGAGTTTTATGACGACAGCGATGGAGAGAACGGAAGAGAAGGTGAGCCATGAAGAGGGCATAGTCTTTATATGGGAAAACATTCTTGTTGTATTCCACTATTCATCTGTTTATATTTGTGCTTTTTTTTTTATAGGACGGCAGATAAAAGTTCAGTTTTGTGCAGATCCATTGTCTCAAATCATTCACTATGAAACTGACAGGTAAGCAGTATATATATTATTTATTATTAATATATATCAAACTACAACCGGAACTGTAAACAGACAAAACCCCTCTGTCTGCTTCGTCCTTACTCAGCAGTGACAGAGATTCACTCAGCAGCTCCACTGACAGGGAGGAGGAGCTGAGCTCGGCAGAAACATCTGAGGTTTGCATGAGGACACACATGACCACACACATGCTAATGATCACATACACTAGATTAACTGCTATAGATTAACTGCTATAGATTAACTGCTTTGCCTTTTTCCAGGAATTAAGGGAGCCTGACGACACCGTGCAAATGAAACCTGTGTGTGATCCCCCAAAAACTCAGCTACCAGAGAATGTGCCAGATCTCTGCAACACACCAAACTGTACCAGGAAACACAAAGTGCGTACTCACTGGGCTTTTCTCAACATTCTCTCTGTTCATTTGTCCCTTAATTAGTTTGTTTGTTCAACCTCTCTGTCCGGTCTTTTTGTTTCCCACAGTGTCTCGACCTGCTGAAGCTGACACTGAAGATGGGTGTGGTGGTAGTGACGGGACTGATGATGTTCTGGTTGGCCACAGACGAGGCAGGCTGGTTCAGCCATGTGTTCTTTTAGGGCAAAGCCTATTTTTCTGGAAATGTGTTCAAATGCTTATAGATGATGAAAGAAAAATCCAAAATGACAATATTTTCTTGTAAAAATGCGATGTAAAGTCCCACACATTCAAATGTATGTTCTGTTATCTGTAATACGCTTAATAAAGATTTACCATTGTTTACAACGATGCTGATGTATCTGTGTTACTGTAGATGAATCATGTCAAGTAAAGCAGATTAAATCAGGACTAAATCTAATCATAATGTGGTGGACAGTAACTCAGTACTTTAAATTAATACAATTTTGAGACTTGACTTGTACTTTAATATTAATATAATATAATATATATAGTTTTTATATTTTCTACTTTTTTCTGCTTCTACTCTTCATCATCACAGTTCATCATCGTCTACTTTTTACTCCTGTAAAAGTATCTGATAGTTACTGGTCAAAAGAAATATACAATAGATTGTTACAGATTAAACTACACAACATTACATAAAAGGCTTTTATATGTTAATAAATCAGTAATAATCTGTTCTTTTATTTTGTTATACTTTCTTTGATAATACTGCTATACTTTCATTGTAATAATATTCGCTTTAATATTTCTATCATTATTAGTATTAGTAGTCGATGTAACATCACTAACCTGCGGGTGGCGCTGTTACATTTCTGGAAAGTAACGAGGATAAAAAATAAATCGTAAAAAGAAGAAATTGTCAAACGGAAACGGAAGTGATGTAGAACATTTCTGAACGTGCGAATGTTTTAAAGACACGGTTAAACAAACGAGGGCGGGGTTTAGCCTCTCGAAGCCTCCAAGCCCCCGTTCGACTCCATACAGCGACATCCCGTGCGCCAAAACGAACGTCCCGGTGGGAGGAGTTATGGCTGTTATGTTTTGTTTTTTGGTTTTTTTTGGGGCAAACGAAAGTCTTCACCGAAACCAGAACATGCAAATAACACAACACAGAAAGCAGAACGAATAAATCAAATTAAAACAATGTCTTCGCTCAGCAACAAGTCCGCGCAGGAAATCAGCGAGCTGCTGGATGAATACGGGATAAAGCACGGCCCCGTGGTCGGTGAGTGGACCACCGTCAACCGTCACTTTGCGCCCGTTTTTTTTGTTTTTTGAATCAACGGTTAACGGCAGTTAATTCCACACAAGCCCCCCCGCTGTAATGGCGACCACCTCCTGTTGTTCTCTGTTTGTAAAGTGTAACTCATGTGGCTTGTTTTGTACCCAGACTCCACCAGAGGTCTGTATGAGAGGAAGCTGAAAGAGGCGATGGCCAAAGGGAAAAGAGCGAAACCGTCACCTGATAAAACCTTCTACAGAGAGGAGGGTAACTACAACAAACAAACAAACAAACAGCAGTGAATACTAACTCTACACTTACACTGATGTATTGAAAAGGTTGAATGAAAGCAACAAGTGTGTCAAAACTCTACTGGAGCCCTTTTTCACAGCAGCCTCCTGCCATGATACAGTAGGGTAAACACAGGTGTAACTAATGGTACTGATTGAGGTTCAGTTCCATTTAGTGTAGCAGAGCCTTTCCAGAGAGCCAGCAGACACAATAGCAGCCCCCCTGACTCTGTTTGAGCTGAATGGACCTGGACCTGAACTTGGTGTCACTGGTAACAGCTGTGGATTAGGGCTGCAGGATTTGGTAGAAACACAATATTGTGATTATTTTGTGACAGATATTACGATATAATTAGTGTGGGAAGGATTTATGTATCGCAAATCACTCTTGTTCACGTCATGGCTGCTGTGAAAAAGGTCTATCATGTGTCATTTCACATTCCTCAGAGTTGAGTCTCATATTTTACAGAAGGATTAAATAGGAGTCATTATTGTAGCAAATGTGAATGGAGAACTGTATTTCAAACTCTGAATACAGAGTTTGAGATTTGTTTTTTTTTTACATATTTGCAAATCTGGTTACACACAAGTTTTGAGATACAGTTACACAACTCTCACATTTGTAAATAGTTTTGCTACAATAATGGTTCCATAGACATTAACCTAATTTTAAGAAGGGTAAAAACTGAAGCAGATATTCTGACTCAATCCTTTTTTAACGTCAAAGGGACCTTCCTGGTTAAGAAAAAGTATATAAAACATTGGATATTATACTTCCCATAATGCAGCTACCACAGGCTCCCTTTTAGAACATTTTAAAGTCTTAATCCAGAGCCACAGAAGACATAACTTTTAATGTTTTCACAGTCTAATCCTCCTCGTGACGATTAAATGGGTCTTCATGTGTAAAATCTGTTAATTGTCCCTAAATATCTACATCCATAACTATAATATCTAGACATTATAACAATTTCTAAAGTTATATCCATTATACATAATGGACCGCAGAGCAAAACAACTGCAAACATCCGTGCTGCTGGTATGTTTAAATGAATCCGATCAGATACTGGATAGTACTTACCTGTATTAATGTGCCTCTTTTGTTATGAGTGTGGGAAATATTACAATGGAAATGTACGCTTTGAACACCCTGACATTGAGCCTTATGTTTGTGTTTTCATTTCAGCGGAGGAAGTCACCTACGTTTACAGGACACCTGTAAGTATCACAGTTTACTCTGCTTTGTTTTGTTTTTTTATTTGAGTGTGAACAGACTGGAAAGAGACATCTAAAGAAAACTAGCTTCCTGCTTGACTTTATATAGCAGATACATACATTTTTTATATATGTATAGTTTTAGCCGAACATTACATTCATACATTTTTGATGAAGAGTGTTGATTAAAATTTCCTTTCCTGTCAACTACAAATGAAATATGAAAAATTAAATAGTACTTGTTGGGCATGTAGGTATCAAAACTGTCATAAAATCTCACTCTTTATTAACACTGCTTCCAAATGCAGGTGCAAGGTGCTGGAGACAGGTCAGTTCTACATATATTAGCCTTTCTTCTATTTCAGAAAATCTAATTAGCAAATCAGTCAATCAATTATTTTTGTCCTCTGTCTATCTAGTGGGTCTTACATGAGGTCAAGACCACAGTGGACTGAGAGGGAATATGAACATGAGTAAGTTGTTATTCTACAAACCTGTTGTTGTCTCAGTTGTTTAGCAGTAAAACAATATCACATGTTGTGTTTCATGTCGCTCTACAGGCAGTCCTACACAAGGTCAACGCCTGAATACAGAGGAAGGGATTTTGCTGACGAGTAAGTGTATTTATGAGTTTTGTTAAATTGTCTTTGACTCCTACAGAGATTGCATATTCATTGTAATAGACATATCTAACAATGATTTTATTATTGTGTCAGATATCAACATTTTTTCAATTAATCAAAGTGGTGGAAAGTAACTAAGAACACTTACTTGAGTACAAATTTTAGGTACTTGTACTTTACGACTACTTCATACTTCTACTGCATTACAGTTCAGTACTGTTGACTCCACTGCATTTATGTGACAGCTATAGTAACCGGTTACTTTAAATATTAAGATTTTACATACAAACCATGATGAGTCTATAAAATACGGTTTCATTTTCTGTTAAAATCGCATTGATTGTCCCAATGGAGGGGTGGGGGGGCGGCACTGTAACTCTAGTGCCACACTTACAGGTCAAAACAAGGTCACATTTGGTTACTGCTGGATTGATGGAGAATTTTAATCACGTACTGTAAGCGTAACTCTCTTTATTTCCCTTTCAGACCCTACATGTACGACACGCCGGCCACTTACAGAAACTCCTCTTTGAAATCAACACCCATGAAATCCGGTCACGATGCTTCGAAGGCACCCAAGTCGTCTCGCCTCATCCCACTGTGGGTGCAGTTTCTGTTCTTCCTAGCTGTGGCCGTCTTCCTCTACATAGTTTTTTCCAGTATGGAGACGAATGAATCCATCAAAGGAATCGAATGATTTTTTTTTTTTTTTTTTTTTTAATGAATGCTCGTTTTATGGGGTTGTTACTTTATACTTTATTATGCGTTTTAATTGGAGGAATGTATTTTGGTTAATGGCTTTATTTTAGACATTGCTGAAATTGTGGTTGATGCAATATTTGTGTGCATTTTTATAATTGCAGTTTATTTGCTTGCTTATGCTTAAGTGTAAAATACCTAAATTGTCAGTAGGTTTCAGTACCACCACTAGAACAGATGAGGACAGCTGTTTATCGATACAGATGGTTTCAGTGTGATCTGTTGAGGTTTTGGAGATGATCACAGTGAATATATCTGCATTGGAAGATCACACTTTATGAAAACTGACTTTTTTTTTAAATCCACATGCAATTTCTTGACAGGAAATATCCTATAATATCACACCAGCACAAATCTCTCTTTAGAGGTAATAGACTATTGTTTAAATTTGAGTTGCCATCAAGAGAATTGGTCATTTCACCAGATTTTAAGAAACCTTTAGTTATTTTTCTCTTATTAACAGAATATGTCCATATCTCAAAAACACAAACTTGTGTGTATTTAACAATTGGCAGTACAGAATCAAAGCTATTTCTACTTGTATCCCAAAATGATTCTTTTCTTCAGTGTTACAGTACTTGGTAACAAGGGTGTCTAAAAGTCTACAATTCTATAATGTGTATGTTAATTCACAAATCTTTGTAGTTTATATAATCTTGGGGTACAACAGTGGGGACAGTTTTCAGACCAGCTGTAATTCAAGTGCCTCAGTGGTTTTCTTTAAGGAATAATTGGGATATAATTAATGCTTTTTTTTTTATCCTGGGGGGGGGGGTATTAAATTGCACTGTTTATACGAGCTGTAATGTTTATGAAAACATCAACATGTTTTGTTTCGCTAGACTCAGTTCAGAGATATCACACTTTTGTACTACGTAACCCAACCGTTACATCCTGTAAGTTTGATGTGATTTGTTTTGCTGTCTCATGAGTCAAATTATAAAAGAGCTTGTACATGTAAAAAAAAAATGAAATAATTGAGGGTATAAAAATAAATTGGCTATATTATGCATTATGTTAAAAGTTTTTTCCTCTTGTGCAGTTTGATCTGTACAAAACTGACTGAACCCAAAAGCTCCAACAACAGCAGCATTTTAATCAACTACAGCTTCTATTTACACACCTTTAAGTGCAGCAATGTACATATTGTAAATGACATAAGATGCATAGTAGGGTTAGACTTAAAATACAAAGACATCTTCTAATCCTTTAAGGATCCTTGATCTGTTGAAGCGGGTACATAATAAGCTAGTGGAGCTTGTGGTAATAAATACAAAACATTGGGCCTCAAGCAAGAAGCACTCGTACAAACATATTTGTTCTTAAGTGGCTGGTATGACTGAGATCTTGTGGCATTAAACAATTTTCTGTTTTTTTTTAATTTTCTCTTGGGCACAAACAATTTAGGGAGTCGTACAATTAGTCCGCTGTTATCCAAACACGTTTTTCACTAAAGGATTATATCTCCCCTTACTATAGAGACATTTTGAGTTTACTATGTAAATTATACTTCATAATTACATTAGTATGTTTGACTGTACAGTCTGAATTATAGCTCTTAATGTATCATGTAGCCTAAGGATGCCATCATTAATTTAAATATGCTATTAATGGGGTTCTCTTCACATTCAGGAGTGTGTAGGTCGCTGTCTAGGGGAACATCCTCTGTTGCAATATTGTCTTCTATCGTCTGTTATCGTGATGGAGACTTCCATTTGACCCTCATGGTCATCGTTAGCCTTGCTTTTCATTTTAAACCACTTATTATTGATTTCAGCAACAGTACAACCCTCCGGTGACACGGCGTTGACAGCACTCATTATTTTCTACCCAGTCCTTGGCTTAAGCAGGTCCTTTAATTCAACTCCTGACACTGTTAAAAACAATCTCCAAGGGCACAACTTTAATCTGCGAGCTCAAGTTCTTTTTACTCTTCTGTACCATTTTAAATGAACGAACACATGGGGCAGGCTGTGTAGCCTTTTATGGTATTATCGGGGTGTGTTAGTGAGCTTTCAGTTCTCATAAACACTTGCTCCATTACACACAGGTGGCATTCATCATTTTTACGCAGGTGATTTACACAGACGTTAGGCGCGTTTACTGAAAATGAGGTAGCACACTCATTTGAGCCCACCACACAAAAAGAAAGTTAAGATAAGGATACGAAAATGTTCTTGCATGAGGCCCAATGTTTTTAATATACACAGACCTGAGGAACCCATGTCACAGTTTCCCCAGTATAGCTTTTAGTAGCAGTTGTCCACACATACATCTCGGGTCATGGCAGTGGCCAAGTCAGAGGGAATCTGTAGTCTAGCTTGAACCAACACTGACCTTGAAGTGAAAACAGTTTTTACGGTCTGTCAGTTCTCTGTGGCCATTAGCCTATGATCCCAGCAGTTGCACTAGCCTAAAGTCTTGTTTGAAAGAATACTGGTCTTAGATAGGTCTATGTTAGAGTCCAATAAAAACTGTGCCTCATCGAAACTGTACTGAACTGGGTCCAGCTCGTGCCTCTTCCAATAGTGTGATGGAGGACCGACCAAGCTGTTTGGTTCTGTGTTACGTCCTCTGCCAACTGAATCCACGATGGACACTGTGTGAGCCTTCTGTCTGTTAATGAAAGAAGAAACACAAAATGCTTCCCTTAATTCACTAGTGTTGCACAATCAAGAATATGGACACAGACGATAAAAAATTAAATATTACAGTGTCTACAAAAAGTATTTAATCCCGCTTGGAAGTTTTCATGTTTTATTCTTTTACAATATTGAATCAAAGTAGATTTAATGTGGGGTTTTTTTTGCACTGACTAACAAAAAATACCCTTCAGATATATACAAAGACATCTAAATTAATTACCCAAATAAAACATTTGCATATGTGGTCATCCCCTTTAACTGGACGCACCTCATCATTACTAGTGCCAATTAGTTTCAGAAGTCACATAGGTCCGACAGTATCGTGGCAAAACTTACATGATGAGGACAAAAGAAAGCTCCAAGGAACTAATAAGGTGATTAAAACGCATCATGAAAACCTCCAAGGGGTAAATACCATTTCATAGGCACTGTATGAGTAAGAATCATGACCTCCATTACCTGTAGTAATCAGCTGCCCGCATACCCCCGTCATAGCTTGTTAATTGATAAGGCAACATAAGTGTTGTCCACACCTGTAGACAGAAGCACATCTATTACTCTGCTTTTAAAATGTCATTTCTGTCTAAGGGAGGTGGAAAAGGGAACTTACAGGTTCTGGTCTCTCGTTCCAGTTCAGAGGGCTTCTTCTCCTTGTTACACAGCACCTTGGCCACAATGATTATAACGATGACGGCTACAACAAATGTAAGGCCAGACACAAGCCAGCTGATCACCATTGGACTGAGGACTGGATCTGGGTCTGAGGGGGAGAGGACTTCACTGTAAGTTACATACAGGATGGCTTTTCATAGTTAGACTTTAATCTACGGCCAAACAAAAAAAACAGACGCAAAACAACTATAATAACTATAATATTATCAGTTTCACCTCTGATGGCTATAGGCAGGGGCTGGCTTTCTCTGGACACGAAGGTGCGTCCCCCCAGCTGGACCCGATACAGGCAGTAGTAATAGCCCTCGTTGGAGCTCTGGGCGTTGGGAAATGTGAACGTGACGGACGGGGTGAGGGCAGGCAGGGACTGGCGCACTGTGCCGTTGGAGCGGATCAGACGCAGCTGGAAGGAACCTCCAGGGTACTGATGCGGGGTGGAGCAGGTGATGTTAAAACTGTGGCCTTTAAGGACGGAACCAGCCGGGGCCTCAGTGGACGTGTTGTACCAGTGGTGGGGGGTCAGGACCTCCACTTTGATCAGGCGAAAAGAAATTTAATAGGTTATTCAGGGTAACACATAGTTTTGAGAAAGGAAAAAAAAAAAGTACCGCCTCTCTTGAAAAGATAACTTGGGCCTTAGCCATAGAAATACAATGTTCCTTCTACCACTTGAATGTTTTTATCATATATTTTAAAATATAATGGCCTTTTCAATGAGGTTACAGCCATGCCTGTTGATTTTAGCTAATAAATAACCACTGAGAGTCCTATATTAACAATAAACAAGAAAATTCTGAACATTAACATCAGGCCACAGCTATTCACATGTAAACATTTTGAGCCATGTTCAAGTCAATTTTCTTCCACTTTAACTGCGTAACTACAATCATTGTGTGTTGAGCTGAAAGTGCTGCCTAAACGCTAGTGACCTGAACGCATCCTGTTTAGACACAGGAGGAGAACTGAAATGTGCTGCTGCTAACGTGCTGCTCATGCTGAGCCTCCTGTGTAGACACGGAGTAAAGTGTCATCGTGTGACGTCTTTGACAGAAGAAGCCCGTGAGATGAAGTTCAAAATTCAGAGCTAGTAAATGGACTTTTGTGCTTAGATTACGTATATTGTTACACATACTACACCCAATGGTCAACAATGGACTTCCATCCAGCTTTGATGTGCCGTAAGTTAGGAGTACAGGACTTTAATAAAATGAAATCAAACCTGATTCATGGATAGGAACTTCAGGTTCCATCGAGAATAAAATGTCTCATATAAATTGCACAACAAAACAATGTGCTATTGAAATGGGCATTGGTGTTAATCTGCATTAGACAATGCAGTTACGACTCACCAACAGTGATGTTAATGGAGTTGCTGGGTGGAGAGCTGAGCAGCTGAGAAGGGAAGCCGCCCTTGATCCTGTACCGACAACTGTAGCTGCCCTGGTGGAAGGTCTCTATGTCGGACAGTGTCAGCTCCACTCTGGTCTGGGTCTGGTCCGCCCTCTGTGTAACCAGTGGGGTGGACACTCCATGCTTGTACAGGTGGAAGTCACTGAGGTGGTGACCCAGCAGAACACTGCAGCTGAAGCGAACAGCCTCCCCGGGACAGAACACAGTGTGAGGCGAAAGCAGGGTGAGGGTGGGCATTAAAAGGGTACCTGAGAGGAAAGACAGGTTAATCACAGAATGTGACTGACACCATAAAATCATGTTTATGTTATGACAGTGGTGTGTATTCTGCTGATGCTGTAAGCCTTCTGGTAAACTGAATAGGTCAATGGACAGGTGGATATGTAGATGCTGGTCAAGTTTGACCAATTAACACTCTGACCTGGACATAAGACACTGCAGGATAACATATGAACATGCCTCAGTGCCTTAGATAATATCTGTCTATTCCAGCTATTTGTTTAGATTAAATACTCAGTTTAAATAAACGAGTCAAGCATCTGGCACTGCTCCTTGTTAAATGAAATGCATCAACAGAGCAGAGTCTCACCTGAGCATTTCACCCCTGCATCATTCTCATGGGTGCAGTAGGGGTTACTGTGCAGGACGACAGCACAGCGGGTCAAACTGGACTCGTGTCCAGAGCACTGGACATGCCGTAGCCAGATCTCTCCCCTGCCTGCACCAAATACTGCACCATTAAGGGCAGATTCAGCTAAGCCACAGCCCAGCTCCAGGCACACCACATCAGCCTCCCGGAGGTCCCAGCCATGGTCACAGACAGTCCCCCACTGGTCATGGCGGAGCACCTCAACTCTGCCAGAACACTTGTTCTCCCCGTCCACTAGCCTGACCCCACCTGTGGATCAGAGACAACGTTACTAGGACAGAAAGTGGGTGAACGGCTGGTGATGCAGCAGGTTTATATCAATCCCAGGCTTACCAAACGCAGCAACTCCATCCCACAGAACACCAAACAGGCCTGTGAGGAAATTAAACATACAAATTATCATCAGGCAAATACACAAGTTGTTCAGTTTGAGAGGCGTTGATTCAACTTTATGATCATTTTGAGGGCTGTGGTGTTATTGAATAGTACTGCATTACACACAGAGGTGTTTCTAATACCTATTTAACTATAACATGAGGTTGTACTAAACACCTCTCAGTATAATACAATACTACAGCCTCCGACATAACTATACATTTTAATTAACGCCTCCCTAAAACAAACACCGAACAATATAACCTTTATGAGGGTAACTAAATTACTGTTGTATTAGACTGCTTTAATTTGAGAGAGCTAACGCTAGGTGGACCCAAAATATTATCAACTGTATGTGTATATTACAACAGTAAGCGTTAAATAAAACGTTATTAGATTGTCAAAAATGTCAAGTCATAGCATAATTACAGGATACTTCGGAGGTCAGAAACACAAAAAAACACTATATTGTCTTTGACGAATATAAGGCAGTAACCAATTTAACAGAGCAAACTGCAGCTCGAACAAGAGCTGGTTAAGTTGTCCCGTTGCATAATGAACCGAGAGCCACCTCTCTGGTCCTGCCGCGGAGCTAGCTGGCAAAACAGGCTTAAGGTAACCAGGAATAGGCGCCTCGGCTTACCTGTTAAAAGGATATGGAGGAAGCTGAGCATCGTTCCCCTCACCCTTCCATCACACGGCCGGGTGGGAAGGAGCCCCGTTGTCCTGGTGATGATTCTGACAGCCGTTGAACGCTACCGATCGCACGAGACATTAGATAGCTTGTGTGCTACAAACGCTTGGATTAATTTAACTGGGAAGCTAACGGCTAGGTTACCTGGACCAACTGCCGGCCGTTACAGGCATTGTCGAGACACTGAGGGAAATGCTAACGTTAAACGGAGACAAATTTAAGTTTCTCTCTCGAGATTGTGGTTGTCATAATAACATGGTGTCGGTGAGAGGGGTCGGGTCAGCGTTAGGGAACCGTTTAGGGAACTGCTACCTGCCGTCAGGCCGCCATAGTACGTCAATGGTCGCTGAGCCGTTCTCCCTGCGGCAGACAGAGGTCACCATAAACCGCAGCGCTGCGTGTAAACCCATTAGTTCCTCCTAACAGGGGAGTAATGGATTACATGTAACTCACTTAACGTTATGTAATTGAGGATACAACAAAGGATAAGAGTTTCTTTTAGTTATAATATAAAATACATATATTAAAAAAGATTGGAGAGCAGAGGACAAAGTTTTGATGCTAAAAATCTTCAGTTTTTCCATCTTTTTAAAGGTTACATTGTTAAATTAATCTTAAATCAATACTTATTATTGGCATTTCTTTTCTCTTGTCTTTATTTGCATATTTGATGTTGAGGTAATCCAAAGTAATGGAAAGTAATCTGGTTACATTACTTTAATATTGTGATATTTGGTGAATTGGGTAATTAGTAATTACATTTTTAAATAGCTACAAACCCTACCCTAGAGAGTGATTGTATAATGGTATATTTTAATAATTATACACTTGATTAATCCAACAAACCAACTTTCTATAGAAACACAGAAATTAAGTGATTATGGAGATCAGTTTGCTCATCATGGTTGCTGCTCCTCACCCAGTCTATAAAGTCTTCTGTGGCTCTGGAGGAGCACTCAAATAAAGCATTTACTCTTTTCTATTTCCTTTTTGAAATGTATCTTGAATTTGCTGAATAGTCTTATTGAGTAGTTGTGACATTTTGACATGAAACAGCAGGGTAGGTTTTCACAGTGCCACCTCACTGACTCCCTCTTTCAGCCACATGACCCATTTGTGTCAAGTCTCCTCTGTATTTCACTTCCAACGCCATGACCATGGCCTGGATCAGTTATGCAATATAAAAGAGCGCCTTGCATTTTTAATTAAATTACCACACAGCAAATCTGGAGCCAGTTAAGTGTTCCAGCCCAGATCGAGTACTGCTGTCTCATAATAAGTCACAATGGGTGTATAAGCTTCTTTACTAATGGTAAATACCTAATTTACTTATGCTTCAAACATAGATTATAATTAGGTTTCACCTTTTCAAGTCTATCTTAATACAATACTACATGCCATGTGTAAACTGAAAGCATAACTGGTCCCTGTAATTGTTCCTCCTGTACATACTGGCTACAGATACATAACTAACTCTGCAATTAATTCTTCTTTTTACATTTTATTTAGCTAAATGTGTACAGATTTACTTTCACTTTGGTATCAAATATTATTTTTAGATGTTAATTATAGTCGTAATTAGTCAAAAAGGGAAAATACTGTCTGTGGAAACACAAAGAGGGAATTTCATACTTAAGGATGAGTTGTTATAATATTTGATCAACTTTATCAACATTTGTGTAGCAGCAGAATTGATGACGTAATAAGAAATTTAGACTAACTTTACTAATGAGGAAGAGAAACAACAGCAAAAACTTGCAGCCTAAGAATGTGCTTATTAATCACCTATAACTGATCTATAAAGCATTAGTAAATGATTTCTAGAATTAATAAAAACATGAATTTCAACTTATAAAGCGTTTATAAAGGATGACGTATTTTAAAGTGGTCCCCTGTTGTAGTGGGAGGAACAGCCGTTAGTATGGGACCAGCAGCTCCATCACTATCTATGTAGACACAAATATCCACAATGGGATTTATCACCAACACAAGTCTCCTGCTGCCGCCTGCCAACTTAACACCATCTGGTCACGAGGCTTTCCTTCCGTGTTGGGGAAGAGAGTGTGGATGAATCAACCGAAACCGCAACAGGAAGAAGATATTTTTGCTGATTCACGTCTGAGTTGCACAATTCTGAGCAAGTAAAGTGACTAACCCAATACATGCCCAGAGGCTTTTTTCCCATTTTGTAGCATTTCCTGGAATAGATGACTATTGATTTTGTGCGTTTGTATTTTAAGTACCTCATATCAGTATCTAATTTGTGCCCACGAATGGCCACGAGTCATCAGGAACAGACACCTCTCCGAGTCCAGGAAGGTTTGTGAAGGAAGCAAATAAAATGAAACGAAATACAGACAAATCCTGAAAACCTGCTTCAGTCTGGAAGATAACTGCGACTTGGCAGAAGATTTATTTTCCATGCACGCCACAGAGGCTCCAAAACAACAATGTTCTCAAAACCTGAGTCCTGAAAGTGGCCAAATTGAAGTCTAGACCTCAATTCGATCCATAATTTGTGGTAGGACTTGAGTTGAGTCACAATACCCATGCAACTTCATAGACCATGGTCAGTTATACAAAGAACAGGAACAAACTGCAGTGTCTGGATGTGTAAAACTAATATCACACACACTGACTCAAGACTGTAACTGCTGCTAAAGGTGACTTCACAATTACTGTAAATTATATAAATATAATGTAGGTCAATATGTACACTTTTGCTTTGGCATCAGATAATCTCTTTTTCTTTTTATGATTATAAATCATAAAAGCCACGGCTCAATGTTGTAAAACAAACCATGAAAAAGTCCAAGGGGCTGAACACGTTTTATAGGCATATGTGAAAGACTTGTTTCTGTGTGACCGTAGGTGAAGCAGGTATTACTGCAAAAAAGTAACACATTCTCAGCAACTTACAGTACATGGAAGAAAACAATTAGAAAACACAAACCTTATGCCCAGTCGTAGCATAAAAGCACTACCTCGTGTTTTAAGTTGAGAGCGAGGGTCTACATTTTAGGGATTATTCTGATGGTTTGACTTTAATTTCTTAAAAGAAAGCTCTGACTGAAGATGATTCCCCCCCTCCCAAATGTACATGTTTACATGTCAGAGCAAAACCGACCAACTAGTCCCTCCCGTATTCTGATTTGTTGTTACCGAGACATCTTAAAAGTGCAACAACCCTGCTCTACAATATGCGCTATGTGCTTACAATAAAAAGGTTGATTTTTGTATTAAACAGAATACCTTGTCAGTATTAGGGTCAACCACCAACAGATGTAGTTTCCTGATGCATTTTATTGAGCCACTGGTCAAATAAGCATCTGAGTTCTCATATTGCAAAAGGTGACTGTTTTTTTTCCACAAAGAAAACATACAGATAAGCCTGTATATATATCTATATATATGATAAATCTCTATGTAAATTCAAACTTCAAAACCAGCACGTTGTATTTGTGAAACAGAAATCTCAAAATGATCCGACCATTACATTGCGAGGAACAGCACTATTACTAGCACTTTATCTGAATTACTCCCCACCATTAACTAAATGAGTCGCGCGTGTTGGTACATTTACCACTGATAAATCAAAACAAACATTGTCATAAAATAACAAAACATAAAATAATTTAGTTAACTTAACACTAGTCCTCTAAGAAGATGACCTTTTTCACAGGTTTGGAGTTTCAATAAAAGTACCACGACTTCTTGAGTAGTTTTGATAAACTCCTAACGACAAGCTTTCAATAAAATAATGTGTTTAGCTCTTTGGATAACAGTACAACCTGCTTCAGTTCCACCATAAAAGTCTCTGTAGCACCACATTGAAAAAAATGTATGTGCTGCATTTTCAAAAGTCTCTTGCCCAGTGTGTCTTCTGTGGCATCCATCAGTTGTCAGGGAAATCCTTTTTCCTGACAAACCTTCATGCGTTTCTTTACTTGGAGTCTCCCAGCAGATGGACAAGGAGTTCATATGTGGAGAGGACGATTGCTGTGTTAGGGATTTGTCTAATTAGCTGTGGAATGAGTCCTCTATAAAAAGCTGCATAGCCTTCCTCCACCGCTATTAACCTCCCTGTCTGGAAGAAATACTTGTACTTGCTGCCTTCCTCGCGCAGCCTCGTCCGAATGACCTCTGTGGAGAGAACAAAAAAGGTATTATTCTTTTAGATAAATACTTCTCCCGGACAATAGGTGGTTGTGTTGCAAGAGACAAACAATAAGGATGCAAGTGTTTACCGTGTGGGTAGGCTATACAGGACGCACAACCCTTTGAAAAAGCAGCTGCCATCATCAGACTCAGGAAGTCTGATGCTCCTTTCTCCTGGTTCTTGGCGAGGTTTTTCTTCAGTGTCTCGTAGATCAGGAAGCAAATCATCGTCTCCGAGATGCCGGCGTAAGATGCAGTCAGGCCTCGGTAGAAGCCCCGAATCCCTTCTGTTTTGTAAACATAGCGGGCACACTGCAGTGCATTCATCTTCTTCTCTCCTCTGGCTCTAAAAAGTTAAACCAGTCAGGTTCATTAGTGCCAAAATCACAACTATCTTAACGGTTTATGATCATCAATCATACAGTCGTCATACAGTTCTCCCCAGCATTTTTTACTTGATAAATGATCAAAACTGTAACCTGTTAATTTTCTGTATCGTCTAAGCGATTAGTCAAATTTCAACCCTATAAGGAAGCATGATTGAATGAGTAACTCGTATCACCTGAGATTATACAATCATTTCCTCCTCATTCATAAAGCCACCATTCTGCGCTGCAGGACAGGTGCTCTTTAAAGACGGGGTGAAAAGACTAGTTCCTGTGACCTCACACGATACTACTGCCCTGTACTCAGTAATGTAAATATAGACTCTTCTTCTGCACGCAGGACAGTGCGTCAGCACTGTGTATTTATGGAGTCAGATCACAAGCTCAGTCTCGCACGCTGCATAACCCAAGGACAGTGCCGTGAAGGGGGGCTCTGTTAAAGGTTTCTGCTAAAGGTCACATTATATGGCTCGCCCTTCCACCTGCACTGTCCCTAAAATAACCCCAATCTTAGACAGAACTACAGTCAGCCTACTACTAAAAATGTAAGTACACACAGGTCAAGCAAAATTAAGAGTGTACACACTTTTTCTCCAGCTGCATCCTGGTCTTCACCATCCAGACGGGGTTCATCAGAGAGTTAGTAACAAAAGCTGAGGATGGGGAACAAAAGAAGCATATTCAGTTATACATGATAGGACACGTAGGATTTGTTTTTTATTTACAGTGTAGACAGACACAACGTCTAAAACTTAGATATTTTTGCAGAGCACTGGATTGCATTACATTTTACAGCTGTTCACGTGACGCCCATTACATGTATG